TGAGAATCTGCTTTTGAAGGCTTGGGAGCCCACAAGTGCCAATCAGTCTTTAAGAACTACTGTTTAGAAGCACAGGAGCAGGTAGTTACACTGGGTTGTAAGTCAAGCAAGAGGGGCAGAAGACCGGCTTGCCTGAACAGGGAACGTCTTCTGGAGCCGAAGAGGAAAAGGAAATCCTAGATCTCTGGAAGCAAGGTCGGGCTTTGCTGGAGTATTAGAGGGACATGGTTTGTATATCATAGAATTGTAGGGTAGTTAGGGTTGGAAAGGACCTTAAGATCATCTAGTTCAAACCACCCTGCCATGAGCAGTGACACCTCACACTAAACCGTGTCACCCAAGGCCTTGAACACTGCCAGCGATGGAGCATTCACAGCTTCCCTGGGCAACACATTCCGGTGCCTTAACACCCTTACAGTAAAGAACTTCTTCCTCATATCCAATCTAAACTTCCCCTGTTTAAGTTTTAACCCGTTACCCCTTGTCCTGGCACTACAGTCCCTAATGAAGAGTCCCTCCCCAGCATCATTATAGGCCCCCTGCAGATACTGTCAGGCTGCTATGGGGTCTCCACGCAGCCTCCTCTTCTCCAGAAAAAAAAATTATGCAGGAAAAAGACACGAAGGGCCTCAGGTGAGGGAGCTAGTCCTGTTAGGGCAGGACCCCTCCTGATCATCTACCAAAAAGGTCTTGGGAGTTGGGAAGTCTGCACTGACTGGAATCTAGCCAGTGTTACTCCAGTCCTCAAAAAGGGCATGAGGGAAGACCAGGGAACCTACAGACCTGTTAGTCTAATGTTGGTTGCAGAAAAAATTATGGGGAAGATTCTACTTGGTTCTGTTGAAAGTCATTTAAAGAATAATGCAGTCATCTGGCACAGTCACATGGATTTACAAAGGCAAAGTCCTGTTTAACTAATTTGGTATCCTTCTATGATTAGGTCACCTGCCTACTGGATGAAGGGAAGGTGGTGGGGGTAGTTTTTCTGGACTTTAGTAAGGCTTTTGATACTGTCCCGGACAGCATCCTTCTGGATAGGTTGGCTGACTGTGGGAACTAAGAAGGTTCACAGTGTGCTTGGTGAAGAAGTAGCTGAAGGGCAGAGCTCCCAAGGTTGTAGTGAATGGGACTGCATTTGGCTGGGGACTGGTCACCAGTGGTGTTCCTCAGGGCTCAATTCTACAGTTCTGGTTGACAGCAGCATTCCCTGGCAGCCCAGAGGGCAAACTGCATTCTGGGGTGCATCAAACCAGCATAACCAGCTGGTCAAAAGAGGTGATTATCCTGCTGTATTCAGTGTTGGTGGAGCCTCACCCTGAATCCGGTGTGCAGTGTTGGGCCCTAGAGCTTGAAGGACATTAAGGTCCTTGCATGCGTTCAGAGGAGGGCAACAGTGGTGGTAATGGGGCTGGAAAGAAGGTACTCTGAGTGCTTCGGGCTTGTTGAGTTTGCAGAAAAGGAGGCTGAGTGTTGATATGTTTTCCTCTCTACAGCTTCCTGAGGAGGGGAAGTGGAGAGGGTTTAGACATTAGGAAGCTTTTCTTTACTAAGAGGGTGGTCAGACACTGGAAGAGGCTTCCTAGAGAGGTGGTCAATGTCCCAGGCCTGTCACTGTTCAAAAGGCATTTTGACGATGCCCTTAACAACAACAGCGTGCTTTAAGTTTTGTTCAACCCTGAATTGGTCATGCAGTTGGACTGGATGATTGTTGTGGGTCCCTTCCAACCAAAATTCTGTTCTGTTTTGTTCTGATTTATCTTGTTCCACTTTAAATACAATGTTGGCTATTTAGATGCCTATTTCCACTTCTTAGTTTTGAACTTTTAAACTACACCATCCTAATTGTAGCTTGCCTGAGTGTGCCAGATTTTAGTGCTTGTACTAATTGGGACTACTGCCTGTAAAACAAAGTTTAGATCAGTGGTATTTTAATAGTTGCATTGAAAGACGATCAAAACGTAAAATTGGCTAAGAGTTTGCCAGGAACTAAATGTCGTACTTATACATCTAGAATTTGCTTGGAACATTGAGGAGGATTTCAAGCCTGTTCCAGATACCTGGATTCCAGCAAAGGACATAGAGTTTTCTAATGGCAATCCCTTGCCTGATGAGAACGGACATATGCCAGGTACTTAAGATGCAGAATGGGTAAAGTGGGTGGGGGGAAATCCATTTTTGAAGTTAATTAGAATTAGTTGTAGAGTAAAAAGTAGTAGTTAACCTATTCAGAGAAGAATTGCATGTCATTCATTCAGTGTCTAGAAAGGCTTTGTTCTTCTGACACAATGAAAATAATTGCAGTTTGCTGTACAGTCTTACAGGGCTTCAGCTGAAGGCATAGTTGTCCTGTTTGCATTCCTCTGACATTTTTCTGAGACACAACAGAGTTTCTCTTGTTACTCTTTCTGTTCGGAATTAATGGTGTGTATTGTTGGTTTGGGTTTTAATGCATGTACAGTTCTACTACGTGTTTGATAACTTCAGGTATTTACTTTGGTAAAATGAAATGTTTTCTCCTAGGTTGGGTGCCTGTGGAGAAAAATAGTAAGCAGTATTGCTGGCACTCATCCGTTGTAAATTATGAGGCTGAAATAGCACTGGTATTGAAACACCATGCTGATCCAGGGCTTCTGGAAATCAGCCCGGTGCCCTTATCAGAAATTTTAGAGCAAACCCTGGAGCTTATTGGGACTAATATTAATGCAAATCCGTATGGTAAGTTTCTATGGTCTTTTCTTAAATACTTTCCTATTTGGTGATATTTTTGAGTTAAGTCAATGCTTTTTTTTTTCTTTTCTTTTTTTTTTAATAAGTTTTTTTAAAAGTTCCAAGTTAGCAATGTAACTTTTTTAGAAAGGAGAGAAAGGGCTGCCTCAAAAAACACCCACCCAGAAATGCTCGCCTCAGAAAGCTGAGTTTTTACGAAACTATGTCTATTAAACCTGTTTTCACCTGCGTGTTCTTCAGGAGTTACTAGAAGAATGCTTTGCATTACTCTTCAGTTGTTTAAAATGTTACTATTAAAATACTAAAATATTTAAGATTGTTTGTTAGTGTCTTTTCTTGACTTTTTTTTTTCTTGCTCTTTTGATGTTCTTTATCGCATTAAAGCAGAAAATGATTGCTTGTTGTTTTTTTTCCTGTAAAGTCATAAATTGTAATTTTTTAATTATAAAATCTTATGAATACTTTTTTAGGGAAATGTAATTTAAGCTAAATTTTGGTTGTGGCTTCTCTGTAAAATCCTTACAACGACAAAAATAGGTATGAGCACAACTGATTTCTGAGCGTTGCTGTTAGGGTAACTTGCAAGGACAGATAGGAAAAATAGTAGTATCTGGTCTAAGCATTTTCTCAGAATGTAAAGGAAATGCAACACAAAAGTTTAATGGCTGTATTCTTAGATGGAGGCTTACATTGAACGGTCTGCGAAGCAGCAATGCAGTTGTTAACAGCCTGGCTTAAGTATTAATCTATATTCATAAGAAAATATATAAATAAAAGGTTACATGAGGAAGAAACAGCTACATTTGGTACTTAAAAGTGCGTATTTAACTGTTCCCTTAAACAGTTCTCTTAACTGTTACAGAATCTAATAAAAGTCTACCTTTAATAGTGCTTTAGATAGCCATAGTAACAAAAGTGAGGAAAATCTTAACACACGTAACTAGCAGCAGTTGTTTTTTTTTTTTCTCTTAACGTAGGATTAGGAAGCAAGAAGCAGCCTGTACATCTTCTTGTGCCACATGGAGCATTTGAAATAAAGAATCCGCCCCCTTTGAAACAAAATGACATGCTATCTTGGTTTGAAGGCTGCAGTGAGGGTAAAGTGGAAGGAATTGTGTGGCACTGCAATGATGGGTGTTTAATCAAGGTAAATATATATGTGGGCATGGGGGAAGCAGTAGAGTAATTCATACGACTTCAAGTGAGGTATTCACTTCTTGTCTCGCTTTCCGAATTCTTTAGTAGTAATGTTCTCCGAGCAAGTGAGATGACAGTAGAATTAGTCAAGACAGTGGATCACTACAGTGACAACATATTAAACTTTTTCATTATCTACATTATGCTAATAAGGTAATTGAGAACATAGTGTTTTCTTGCCTCTCGGTATAGGAATCACTCAACATTTTAAAGCTTCGTTTCTTTATCTTAAAAATTCCTTTCTTGTAATGTTGACTTACAGAACAAGTATTGCTAATAAGAATGTGGGTTTTGATTAACTGGCAGGTTCGTATTTTTTGCTGAAGCTCTGGATGACACCTTGGTTCTGGTTTGTCTTGTGCTTTGCTGTTACTCGTGTTACTCAGATAACTGCTTAATGATTCTAAGTGCCCCCGTGCAGAGATTTTCGAATGAAAGGACATGCACACCCGCACCTCCCTGCAAGTTGGAACTGTTGGGCTACTATACCAGAACCTCTAAGCTGATTTTACTTCTTTCTATTTTAGCTCCATCGCCATCATCTTGGCTTACGCTGGCCACTTGCAGAGACATACCTCAATTCTCAGCCGGTTGTAATTTCTTTTAATAGAGCTAAATATGACTGTGACTTTGAACCACAGAGTTTGTTTCACCATTTTTCAAACTTGAATGGTCAAAGATTTGACAGACTCCAAGATATCAAGTTTGATGCTTGATATGGGTTTTATGAGCTACATTCCTCCTGCGTCTACCACAGAACTCTTTACAAATAATCTCCTATCTCGGGCAACAGCCTAGGTACTGCGTGCAATGTTAAGTTTTTCCTAAATGACTGATTTGATGTAGCGAGAGATCCAACATCCAGAGCAGAGATCTAGCTTTTAGCATGTTTATTTTCAGTTCGGAAAACTTCTTAACTTTTGAATCCATTTCTGGAAACTGTTATAAGTTAAGTGTCAGAAGCATACTGTAAAGGATGTATTTCAGGTGGGCCCATAAAACTGCATTTTTTATTTTTTCTAAGTTGTAGCAGTTTGCTTTGGTGGAAAACTTTTAAATACCAAAACACCATTAGATTGGTTGAAATACTACTATAACTTTATTTTCAATTCTTTGTTCTTGGATTTTCTAAAATTTGAGGTAAAAACAGTCAGGGATGTAAGCACAGGTAGTCAGCACACTGACCCTGAGTCCACAGTTAAGGATGATAGCGCGAGACAGCAGAATGAATTGCACGTTTTTACTGATCTGGAACTTGGCAGACTTGGTACATTTTAAGAGTTTTCTTGACTAACAGGGTAAGTCCAAGGTTTCAACTTCACTTAACACCTGTGTATAACTCAAATTACTGTTCTGAATTAACATACAGTATTGCAAAGGGGCTGGGAGAAGTAAAACTCATTTTTGACTGGTGTATATAAATACTGACCATAATCTGTTGACTAATCCAATTCTGTGCTCTATGTGCCAAACTGTTGCAACTTTAATAGACTTGTATTATTCCAAGATAAAAAACAGATAAAATAAATATGATGAAATTGCCCCAGAATTTATTTACTGTATTAATACTGAGGACACTAAACACTAGCCTAATCAACAGAAACATTGCCTGGACTATCCCCTTGAATGCCAAACTCTTCAGAAAGCTGCTTTAGTTTCTCTTCTAAGATAATATTTTTTTTAACTTCTTCATTGTAGTTATATTTCAGATCTTCAATTTCTTCAAAAAAGGAAGGGCCATAGTTTTCTAGTTCTCTTCTCAGCGTTTTTGTTTCTTCCTGTTAAAAAGAATGAAGGAATACACTACCTTTATCCGGAACTTGGGAAATACATGTCAACAACTTAAGTGGTAAATGATGAGATAATAATAAGCATGTTCTCTAGAGACACAAAACTCTGCCCATGAACAACACATTCACTAACAGCAAACCGGGCTTCGTAAACATAATGCTCAGAAATTGACTTTGCCATTAGATATTAGTTTAGATATTAAACAACTCCTCCTAGGTAACCACTGTCTCATTGTCTTGCCCAGGATGATCTTTGCAACTCACCCTTAATTGCTGTTTCTCCAGCTCAGAGGCTTTCAACTGTGTCTGGAGGTCAGCTGCTTCCATTAACCTGTCACTTTTATCCTTCTGTAAAATTTCATTCTGTCCTGCAAAAGTAATGGTAATTTGTTACAAAATTTAAGGTAATGAAAAACAATGATACGAGTTATCTTGTCACAGTAATTCTGCATCCCCTGAAAGCTGAACAATTTGTAACAGTGTGTAAACCCAATGGGGATCAACAACCACCAAAAATTCAAGTCACTTGGGCTTTAGTTCTTATACAAATTAAGTGGGTGTGTCTGGCTCCTATAACTGAATGCAATGCTCCCATTGCCAGTCCTGCATTCAGTTTCTCTGAGTTAAATGCAGGAAATTTGGCAATAACGTAGTGTAAGGATCTTGTTAACTATATTCATAATTTCAGAAAGGGTTAGTTTTTCTTTTCCCAGTCATACGGCAACGTGCTGCTCTATAGTGCTCTGCTTTTCCCTTGGGAGTCTTAAACTATTTGCAGAGCTGGTATCTGGGAAGAGATGAATAGAATTCTATGGCAGCTTCCAACCCAAGGCAAAAGGGGTAAGCAGGAGGATTTCAGTGAATGACTGACACAAGAAGTCTTTTGAGGTTTATAAAGCAAAGCGATGAACTGTACATCCTCTTGGAAAGGGAAATCTGACAAATATTACGAGCTCTTGTTCGTAAGATCGTAAAAGTCTCCGCAATTAGTTAACACTTCTCTATAAACCGCTTGTGAAAGTAACTCCAAAATCCAGGACCTTAATTTGCTCCAGTTTACGCTACTCTGTAATTCACATAATTCACATAATTCTGTAGGTTTATTACCATTTTGCACATACATTTTAACCTATTTTTACTTAAGGCCCCAAATACAGGAGGATCATCATTTTAGTATTGAAAACGATTACCAGCTGCAGAAACTTCACTTGTGCATGTGTGCATGTGGTGCTTATAATCTTCCACCTGCTGAGCTAGTTCTGCTTTGTCTTTCTCTAATCGGTTATTAGTTAATCTGGAATATAAAACATTTTTAGAATAATTTTTAAAAACTGTTAAACTATTTTAGAATATAAAATATATAAGTAAAAATCGCGGTGGCCGTTTCCTGATTATTCTCATGTATATTGGCTGAATTATTTATTTAGGTATTTAAAGAGTACATTACCTTAAAAGCTGAAGCTCCCTGAAAAGGCTTTGCTCTGTCCTTGTACCTTCAGGAAACTGTTTGAGAAGCTCAATCTTAAAAGAAAAATTAAGAAAGTTTTACTCTTGAAACAGTATCCAGAGGTAATACAGTTCAGATGGAGTTCTCTTTGATACCGAATTAGAAAAATGAATGAAAATAATACTAAGGACATAACCAAGTACTAGATCATCAGAGTGTTCATCTACTGACAGTTTTCACAAAGCTAATTACCTACAGAGGGGTGTAGCCTCTTCAAGTGCTTTTCAGTAGAGGATGCAGGAGCAAAAAATCAGAGACTATACGAGCAAAAAATACAAGACTATATATTTGAATGAAGTGACAGTTTATGAACTCTCCTAAGGCTATGGTCAGTGATAGCCGTTTGTTCTATTATTAACTAAAATGATAAGGATTTGTTTGGTTGTGTTTATTTTTTTTTTAACAACCATCAATCTCTTGTTTCTTTTTAATGTAGCTACCCTTGACACATCTCTTCATCAGTATTTGAGACACAAAACAAACTGGGAAGTGTGTTGCTCCACAGGAGTATCACATAATGAAATCATTTTCTCTCTGTGTTAAGTTTGCTGCTGTTGTACACTTCCTGTTAATAATCTGACTTTAGAAAAGGAAAACCAAACACAAATTAACAAAGTTTTTTTTTTTTATAGCACTCAATTCCAAGTTCTATTTATTGAATGCTTTCGTTGCCTACAGAAAATATATGACTTCCTATAGTGGAAGTTGTGTGTTTGATTCGTTACAACAAGAATGGCCAGTACAAGATGCCTGGGGAACAAAACCCTGCACGTATTAATAAATGAGAGGATGGAAGCTAACCTAGGTGGGTAGTCCTAGGGCTGCATCTGCCAAGTACTTAAAAGCCAAAATTTGGTACATCTTTTCAAAGGTACCAGAGTTTAAAATTTATCAACTCTTCCATGTGTGAAATAATGTTTGTATGACTTATTAGGGACTGCATATTCAGAGGCCATATTGGTAATAGGCATGAAGATCCATACCCTTTATGGTGGCAGAGTTAATCAGTCCCCCCAAAAAGACCTGGAAGAGGTAAGTTCCTCCAGCAAACTCACTCCTGCAGTGGAACAAGCTAGAAAGATTTTATTTGAAGCATCTGTACCTACATGTGATCAATGAAGCTATCATTAAAAAAAACAAACAAACAAACCAACAACAAACACATGGAAGAATACAATAGAAAAAAAAAAAATCCCCTAAGACTGCAAGTCAGAAGTATATGTTGATAATCTGTAGTAAACCTCATTAATGGCTAAAACATGTAAATGTACAGGTACAGCAACCAGGGCTGAAAAAACCCATAAAAGCATGGATCAGAGAAAAATAACAAACCAAACTCTTCCCATATAGATATTAGAAAGAAAGAAATATTAAGCAATTTATTCTCAGAGTCATCTGGCTAAATTTTACTCACTTGTTCTTTTAGATCTTGTAAGTTTTTATCAGCATTCTGTTCACGTTCTGTTGCTTCCTGCAGCAGCCGTTTAAGGTCAGTAATGCTTTGGGTTTTTTTAGCAATATGCATTTCCATTTCCTTTATCTTCGTTTCGTGCATCCTGGTAGTATTTTTATTTAGAGAAAGATAAGAGCAGAAGCTAATACTTTTGCAGAAATAGAGACTAAAATATCTGTGGGAGATTAAATGCCATAAAATACACTCTACGTTTGGGGCATTGGTCTTAAAAATAAGTGAGCTGAAAGAAAAATGCATTTTTAATCTTAGAGTAAAGGCTTTTGCAAGCGTTACACCTTTGTGGATCTTACTTAGTGTCTGTACTTTACTAAAGGGGGACTGAAATCTTTTTACTCTATTACACGTGAACCCTAAACTACCTCCTGCTAAAAACATGCACATCTGTTATTGATACAGCATGCGCATGGGTTGGGTCTTACTTCAGTGTCGTATCCTTGATTGATTGAAATAAATTAATGTACTGAGAAAGGGCTAATACAGATACAGAAGATGAAGTTTCCAAAGACAAAAACATTCTGCAAGAACTTCCGTTTACCCTGGAGTAACAGTAGTTGGAAGAGGATTCTGTTTCGATTTGAGCCATAGAAGGCTACAAAAAGGTTTTTGTAGAATCATTGAAATGTTGGCTGGAAGGTACCTCTGGAGATCACAAGGTCCAATCTCCTGTCTGAAGTGGGCTTTCAGATACCACTGTGATCTACGTCTTGCTACCAGCTGAAGAGCCTTCCAAAGGATCACTTGGATGATCCCCCTGTCTGCCCTTCAGACACCTTCTACTATGACATCCATACTTTGGAAGATTTGCTGGTGGGGTGGACTGCATGTTGAAGTGACCTGGTGAGCTCCTTTAGGCTAGTAATGTCTCAACCTCAGTCACTTACTTTAAAATCATCTTAAAGTAAACGCAAATAAAAGTTTATTCACACCACTTGAAATAGACAAGCACAATTAAGCATAACCATATATTTTACACCTACCTACCTACCTGTCTACAACTATGATCTATGTCAGCTTAACAGAACTAAGTAGAAATGTTTTTGAACAGGTGGAGAGCTAGAAGAAAAACTATGTTCAAACCACTGAGCTGGCACACTAGTTACTAAGGGCCTACCATCTTCACTGCATGTTCCTGTCTTCCTCCTCCAGTGGCTGGCAGCCAGTTTTGCTTTCCTTCCTTATGCTAAATATGGCTGTCACTGACCTTGCGTAGGGACATTTTACCTCACTACATGGTTAGGGGGAAGGTTAGGAAGGAAGAAAAAAAAAAGGACAGCTTTCTGAAGTCTCAGTGAAGTAAAATGGCTCAGCAGTATGGCAGAGACACACTAAATCTGCAAGGGATCCTGTGGGAGTACAAGGCTGGGCATCAGCAGAAAGATTGTTCAACACTGTTACGACCTAGGATGAAATCAGACAGGCTTCTCCTGTCCAGGTGATTTTCTGCCCTAATAATGTGGCTGTCAGAGGTTCTGGTTTTGTAGATATCTTCCACTTCTGTTTACAACTATTAAATAGTACTTTTTGCAACGTCATCTTATGTCATCCTGAGATCATCCATGACTAAGTACTTCTTCCCCAGATTTGCTCCCTTCCATCCTTAGGCAGGACACAGGCTATTTATTTATTTTAATGGCACATGCATTGTTTTGTTTTCGTGTCCTTTTCTGAGTTACAGCAGTACATGAGATAATATCCAGTTAAAAATTCTTGCCTCAAGAGGAGTAAAATTCTCATTCCTCTTCTACTTTGATGAATCCACACACGTGTATTTCATGTGAATGTATCTTCTATCAATCTTTATTCTGTATCACTCTAGCGTGACATGTAACTAGCATCTTTCTTTGCAGCTCACGACTGAAAGGGGTGTTAACAGGAATGGTCTGGGGGTGACTGTTTGCCAAAATCATTACTTTAAAACAACTGATAGGTAATGTGCAGATAACTTACTGGTAAAGAGTTACAGACATTTACTACCAAACAAAACGTGATTTTTGATGCTGATCTCAAAGTCTGAGTTTTATCTAAAAATCTGGAAATGGTGGTTTACACGCTTCAAATAATATATTGAAAAAGACAATCCAGTGCCAGTCTGTCAGTTTTTCTCCCTTCTTCTACAGATAACAGAACCAGCTGGCTGACTGCAATTAGCCTTCAGAACACACACACCAGGGAGCATCAGCTATGCCTATATGCCCCAAGGAATGTAGAAATCCAGTGTGTTTCCTAACACAACCTCTGCACATTGACATGGTTAAAACCTAGATTCAAACCCAGCCAAGCTGGGAAAAGCAGGTTCCTGACTTACAGTTTTTGTTTTAGATTATGATCCATGCGGTAAGGTACTGGAAAATTTCTAAGCTCAGCAAAGACGCTGACATTCCACAAAGCACAAATACAATGCATTTAACCAGCAAGGAACACAAAATACTTCCTTTACCAAAACTATCCACAAGCCTACAGCTAATCTGAAGAAGGGAGATAAGTCGCTGGCTACTCTGTACAAGCAGCTGACAGGCCAGTATTTAAGGACACCAGATCTCTGCTGGACCTTTATACTGATTCTACATATTGATATATAATCAGAAAATAAAATACTGATGATACTAAACTATCTTCAAAAGAAGAAAGAAATTATGAAAATTCAAGCCTAATTTGTTTGCTAATATTTAAAGAGAAATTATCTTCCTTACTTCATTCTCAATTCCTACCTTGTTACAATGGGCTTCCAGGTTTTGCTGTCAGCTCCATCAATTTGGCTCTCAGCCAAATTTAGCCTCTTAATGGTTTCCTCCAGCTGCCCTGTTAACTTCTCATTTAATACCTCCAAGTTATTCTTTGCTATTCGTAGCTTCTCTCCATTGTCGGCTTCCTATTGTTCAATAAAAACAAAAGTTTACGGAATACTTAACCTAACGAAGCTCAGGATTATCTGAAGTGACGGTGGGATAGGGTCAGTGCTGATTTAGAGGAAAACTACCTACAAGATCACTACTGCTATAACTTCCAAATTCTGTCTTTGGCTGCTCCCTGGATGTCTCCCCTCCAATTCTATCGTAGCAATAGCAGTTCTTAGGGAAAGTGTCCAATCCATATCAACCATTAAAAATATATATAAATACACTTACCACGACCAGTAACTAATGGAAATCAAGGGATGCATTACAATGACCATACCTTTTTCAGTTCTTTACGCAGCCTCTCGTTTTCAGTAATGACTTTTTCCATTCCTTTGGTTTTAGAGTCATGACGCTTACTCAGCTGGTCCCCCACCTGAAGTTTCATCTTTTCCATTTCAGACTAAATATCAAACAGTTTCTTAAAATACATATGCATTGCTTAGTAGAAAATATCACATCTCCATTTTTAAAGCATGGCATAGTGACAGCTACCTAGCACAATGAACATAACATTTAATCATGTATTTAAATATATCCTTAAGGCACAGGGTGCCATTACATAAAACATGCAGTACAATGAAGTTCTGCTTTTCTATTCTACAGCCTTCATATTTGGTATTCTTAAACCACTTTTCTGCCAATCGATACCAGTAACAGGCTTGCTGTTTCATTTTCCTACTAACTTGCACGCTAACCGGCTATCTGAATATAGTTGCTGGAAAGATATCGGTACCTTTAGCTTCTCATTTTCCTGTTCAAGACCAAGTAATTTCTCATTAGAAACCACAGCTGGAGTTTTTTTCAGATCCTCATTTTCTCTTTGGACTCTCTCTACAACCTTTTTCATCAAACCAATTGTTTTTTCCAATTCTGCAACTGTCTTTCCACTTCTACCAGCCTATAGAGAGGAAAGAAAAAAAGTCAAAGGAAGTTAACAGTTCATCTTAACATTCTGAGATACTCCAAATGTTATTTTATCACTTATTTCCCCACTGCAATGTCTCTTTATAAAAAAAAGTTATATTTTGGTGTGAGTTGAGCCCTGAAGTTTCTTGCATACTTAGCTCCTCAAAGTCAAGACAGCAATTCCTTCATTTTCTGTGTTACTCAAGAAAGCTGCAGTTAGTCTCGAAATCTGCTGTGCTTTATGAACTAGACTGAAACATCAGCAAAATAAATCGAAGTACTACTTTATTTTTTAGCTTTCTTGTAGAGCAATTCCCTCATCCAACAGACCATGCAACTGCTTGAATGCTAATACTGTCTGAAGGAAAATAAACTTCTGCTGGATTAAAGTGACAGGAATAACTACATTTTAAAGCATAAGTAAATCTCCCTTTTCCCAAGGCATATATTCTCCTTGCAGAGTGATAAATAAATAAATAAATTGGGGGGGGGGGGAAGAAGCTTGTAATTTCTTCATTTTTCTTCTTTCACTATGTTCCTTTCTGAGGTAGGAAAGTTTGTAAAAGGTCTTCACATGCATTTATTTTCTCATCATCTTTGTAGTGACCGCTTTCCTCAGCTGTTTCTTGTTCTGGGCCCAAGTATCTCCTTTTCTTTCTACAGAGGTAACAAGCACAGTGTTGTGCAAATCAGGGAGAATTCTAGTCCCTGGAGTAAAACATACAGAGCAACAAAGTTCTGGAAGTAAAAATGACCTATTCTTTCTTCTCTAAAATAACTGTAGAGATCAGGAGATTTGTGTTTGTTGGTATACAGTGGAGTTAAAGAAAACCCCCTGTCAGATCTTGGTGCCTGAAAAGGGAGGAAGATTTAGAATCTGCTCAGACCCTTTGCATAAAACACTTTTATAAACAGAATTTGCTTATCCAGAAATGACCACTGTATAAGAGATAGGCAGATACACAAGCAGTCCATGCAAAGTACAAGTAGAAGAATGAGAACTATACAATCTTTTTCAGGTACCCAGAAGGAGTACTCAATTCTCCTTGTATAGTGAAAGAGCTACAAAAGGCACTGAAGAGATTTTACTGTCAGCCTCCTTTAACAGGTCATACAAATAGTTTGGCAAGTTAGTGGCAAGGGAGATACTGGGAACTGCTGAAGCATTTTTTACCTGATTTCTGAAATACTGCTCTATTAAAGTAGTTGACAAGAGCGAAGGTAAAATTTAATCTCATCATCTTGCATAACACCTCAGACGACACACTAACAATAACTTAGGCTTTCTAACATCTGTATCAAATCAAAATTAAATAAAAAGGCAGTTGGTTAATTTTCAATATTAGGGCTTTGAAAACAAAATGTAAAGAGAAATCAATTTTTCCCATGGCAATGGCACTTTAATGAAACGTTGCTTTTTTTTTGTATTTTGGTTTCATTTAGTTACGATGAAAAATGCTGTTAACAATACTCACGCCTCTAATGCTGCCCAAACCTGCTTTCTCTTTCTTGATCACATTTCTTTCAAGTAAAAAAAACCATAAAAAACTTGAACATTACAGTTGGTTTACTTTGAAAACAAAATGTAAAGAGAAATCAATTTCCCATGGCAATGGCACGTCTCGTCATCTCTACCAGCCATTCAACCTTCTCATCTTCCATAAAACCATAAAAAACTTAACATTATGTACAGGAAAAATATAGATTTCTTTCTAAGCAATCCCCTAACTTTATTCAGGGCAAAGGGGACTAAAGGTAAAAAGATGTTACCTTTAGTCTTGGCAAATCTTTATTGGCCTGCTCGAGCTGGAACCTTAGCTCAATGTTTTCAGACGACAGTCTTAAATTTTCCTTTAAAACTTCTTGTTCTCTGTGGTATTGATCGTCTGATCCCATTCCTGGTGTCTTGAGGAAACAGGGAAAAAAAAGTGGTAATGCACTAGTCATCGTATCAGTTGTAGCTGATAAAAAGCAACAGAGAATTACTGTTTTTCAGAGAAATAAAACAAATGACAGTTGTATTTTCATCTAATTTGCCCTGACTTTAACTCCTTCTCTCACATCTTCTAAACCTGCTTAACCTTTAAGGGAAGTTTACAAACCAGTCTAAAGCGCTAAAAATTTTGTGAAACCAAAATTAACTCTCAGACTACTGGGAAGAAATAAATGTCAAAGTCTAAAAGACACAAAAGCTACTGAGTGTAGTAAGCTATGACACTACCTAGGAACAGCATCTAATACTAAGGATGTATTCTGACACGTTTATTAAATAGTACATATAGCATAAGGAATTTCACTTAGACAGGTCACAGAGCAAGTCAGGAAGCACAGTACATTACTAGTTTTTAGTCTCTAAGTTCCTACAATCTTAAATCTTTATTTAGGGAGGCTAGTAATTTCTATTACATAAAGAGTGCTTTGCATGCCTTACATTGCCAATTCAAATCAAAAGTATATGTAAACTATTACACCAGACTAGTAAGGAGTGAAAGTTTTTGATGATATGATAATCAGCAGGTTTTGCTCATATAATTATGGAATTAATTAACCATATAATCAATTAATCAAAAATAATAATAGGAACAAAGTATATGGTTAATTAAAGCATATTTTTTTTCTTACTGCGTGTAATAATACATTGTAAGTCTTTCAAAGAATGAAGGTCATCAACTACCTGCAGGTATCACTGGTGTTCTCTGCAAACTTGCTGTACCAAAATTTTAGAGTTGACAGTAGTTTACACGTGAGCTGTAAACTAAGGTTTACAGCTTAAGCTGTAAGGTTTAAGGTTTGCTTTATGGATTTGCCTAAGGTTTCCTTTATGGATCCATTGGTGACTACTTTAACATCCCTGCCGAGGATGCATAGGAAAGCACTCCATTATCTAGATCAAACAATTCTATTTCTACGTAATTTATACAGAAGAAATGCTAGTGGACTGCTAGAGCATCAGACCTCAGGCATTTCACAAAGTTCTGCGGTTGTTTCAAGCCCCTCTGTACCACTTTGGTAAGTTTCATGTTTATCCTCTGCAATGCGTTCATTCATTTCATTATTCACATTTACTTTTAATGCTTCATAGTCATTAGCCTGATTAGAAGGTTCCCCTGCATCAGACAGATTGCAGCTCATTCTGTCAGTATCAGGCTCTTCTACACTTTCATCACCAGCAGCATTTGATTGCTTGAGCATTTCTTGTTTCCTCTGCTCTTCAAATTCCTCATTAAGTTTTCCATTTTCAGGTTGGGTTATATTTTCTTCTTTTTCACTGCAGTTCTCTTCACCAGCTTCATCTATATTTTTGTTTTTCAACCCTTCCCTAGAAATATCTGTGTCCTTGCATTTCTCACTATCTTCAAGATGCTGTTCAGGAGACACTTCTGTGCTTGCATCCGTGGTAGCCTCATGCCCTTCATTAGGCACGGTGCATGTTTGCGTGTCTGCTTCCTCATCTATTTCATTGTCATCAGTAACGCTATGATTAGCCAGATGTTTGATTTCATTCCTACTTGAAACAGATTGCTTTTGAAGGGACTTCAGATACTTTTGTTTACTGATACTGACAGGAACAGACTTGGACAGTTCAGTTTGGTCACCTGTACTCTGATGGAAGTTGAAGATAGAATGGAGCATGAAAGAAAAGCAGAAGACAATAAAACAAAACAGGAACTAAAGAAACCTAGAATGTACTGGTAAAGCTACTTCTCGAAAGACTACAATACCCTAATAATGCAATATTTGCGATATAATGAACCTTGTAAAAATCAAAACACAACAAAAACGCGTAACTGAAATGCAACTCAGTACTTCCCCAAGCTCTGTGTATCCCAAATTTTCAATCAATATGGAATATGAAAATAAGTCTCTCAGTTGCAGACTCGCATATTTAAAAAATACATATCCCTTATTTCTCCGCATATGCTAGGCTGCTGAATAGTTCAACTTCTAAATGTAGAACACAGAAACTGTGAGTTTTGGGGTTTGGGGATGGGGTTGTTTTCTTGTGTTTTTTAAAAACGCAAAAAATTTAAGTATTTCACATCCTATTCTAGAATGCTATAATTTTAAATAAACCCAGCTAAACGACAGAGAATACCAAATGGATAACAAATATTTTTGTTAAATAGATGCAATTCTTCTAGGTAATATGGTTACAATATTAACTTACTGATGGTCTAGAATACGCCTGTCTTGAATATTGTTTCTGCAAAGCATGAAGCTTTTCCTGGAGGTATTGATTTTTGAAATGTAGTTCTTCTACAACAGAATCTCGTGGGATAGCTTGCTGTGTTCTACATCAAAAAATGAATGAAGCCAAAACAAACAAATGGTCATTAATGCAGAAAATCATCCCTTAAAGTAAAAATCCCCATGAACTTCTGGGTTTCTAGGCTGGATTTTCTAGGATTACTGGGCTAGTTATTCTAAATCAATGCTAGCCATATACGCTATTTCAAGTAATCCCCATTAATCAAAAGTAAGTACTTTGGCAAAAGGAATCTGCTCTTTTGAGATGTGTACAGCTTTTATTACTCAGGTCCACTATCCACTGTGATAGTGGAAACACTGATGAAGAATACAGTCCGTAACTGCAACTTAGCAGTTCCCGTAACTTTCAAAAACTCTAAACTGTAATTATACTTTTACACAACAGCAGATACTTTTCATATTATTTACATTCTTAGAATAATGAACCAATGCTGCATATTTTCTGAGCATGCACAGTTGCTCCAAAGTAGCTTTTAAGTTTGCTCATCAGAGATGCAAAGAAGGATTTTTGAAATTTTTTGTCCTTAGTGAATCAGTTGGTCTAACACAGACGACCTCCTTCCACAGATATTTTTTCTCATTTAGATTTTCTGGTTTTCATAGATTCTTTTAAAATGCCTCTCACCTCATGTGAGCAACTTCATTTTCTAAATCTAGATTCCGTTTTCTTAGTTCTTCCAGTCCCTTTTCAGTCTCTAAGGCTCTTACTCCAACAACACGGTCAACAGTGACACCAGTAGTTTTCAGTTTCTTCTGTAAAGTAATTTTCTCTTTTTCCGTCCTGCAACATCCAGTAACTACATTTAAAACTTTATTTGTTAACATTTGCTTTAGGAGAATGTATTTTCTGCCTTAAGGAATCGACATTTGCAACATATTTGCTCACTGAACCACACCCCCTTGTCTTCTTAATAAGGTTATCTTACAGACAGTACAGCTTTACAAAAAAATAAAACAAAAAACACACCAAAACCAAACCTGGAAGAAACAATGAACATTAAGTCAGTCTCATACATGTCATAAACCACTTGCTGTTCTTGCCCATCTTTTATGTGAAATTCATGCAAGACTTGCAGATAATAAATGCCATCTTGAAGCAGTTTCAAACCAAATCTAACAACAGCTACAATCACCATCACAGTTTCTGTTCTCTTCTGCATCTTTTATCAGTAAAAGCCTGCCACTACTGTACTAAAGTAAACATAACATTTGTGGAGGGTTTGCACTTGTAATTTTTTTAAAAGGCTTCAAACTCATAATCGTAGAATGGTAAGTACTGCAGTAGCACTACACATAGCAGTAGCAGTGTCCAACCCTACTAATCAAAGAAATAGCCTTTCTTCATAAAGCTGTTTTTGTTTCATGGGCAGAACAGAATATTATATGCAAAAAGCATAATCATAGAATCATAGAATAGTTAGGGTTGGAAAGGACCTTAAGATCTAGTTCCATCCATCTAGTTCCAACCCCCCTGCCATGGGCAGGGACACCTCACACTAAACCATGCCACCCAAGGCTCTGTCCAACCTGGACTTGAACACCACCAGGGATGGAGTATTCACAGCCTCCCTGGACAACCCATTCCAGTGCCTCACCACCTTTACAGTAAAGAACTTCTTTATATCTAATCTAAACTTCCCCTGTTTAAGTTTTAACCTGTTACCCCTTGTCCTACCACTACAGTCCCTAATAAAGAGTCCCTCCCTAGCATCTTTATAGGCCCCCTTCAGATACTGGAAGGCTGCTATGAGGTCTCCACAAAGCCTTCTCTTCTCCAGGCTGAACAGCCCCAACTTTCTCAGCCTGCCATCATACGGGAGGTGCTCCAGTCCCCTGATCATACTCATGGCCCTCTTCTGGACTTTTTCCAACAGTTCCATGTCCTTTTTATGTTGAGGACACCAGAACTGTACACAGTACTCCAAGTGAGGTCTCAGGAGAGCAGAGTAGAAGGGCAGGATCACCTCCTTCGATCTGCTAGTCACGCTCCTTTTGATGGACTTTAGTTTTATTCAAGGACAGTTTCTTCTAATAAAGGTTTTGGCTTCCACAAGGGAAAAGGTACTAGAAGAATAGCCTGCTTCTAAAAAAGTAACTAATCCTTTCAATCTCAATAGCAATGTCAAATTCTATACATCAATCTTACACACATTATGAACTGTTCCAATTTTTATGTGACAAGTATTTGGATTTCCCTTATGTCGTTATTTCCTAACAGTCTATAAAACCAACTCACTTGGTATAAATTTCCTTCAATGTATTCAACTGTTTGCCTAAAGCATCTGCTTCTTTTTCCTTTTCCCTTAGCTTGTTCCGCAATCCTTCCGTTCTGATTTGCCATTTTTTATTTTCTTCCCATTTAAGTATTTCCTCCTTGGAGGTCTGTGAAGAACATAATCAAATTATGTATGTCTTTTTTTTTCTTAAAACAAAATATGCAAGCATGTTAAAAGCTAGAAATGATATATTCTTCATTTATTAGTTTAAAACATGAAGCCATAGCAGGCACATATTATTAACCTCATCTATCAAAAGGTAAATAGCAGTATGCTGTGGTGACTGGTGTAGTTTAATGTATCCTTTTACTCAGAATTACACGTTAGTAAAGTGACAGATTAAAGAAGTGGTTTTCTATGCCAATTTACAGCAGATCTGCAGCTCACCAGGAGTTTATATGCCCCTGCTGCAACAGCTGTACAATTGGTCACCTTAGTGTATTTTTTCCTATTTGAAATAGAATCTCTACTGACAATTCAGTAGCTGTAAATTATACATCAGATAAAACCTGTACCTATGTGATCACAAATAGCTACTGGAAACAGGTCAATAACAGTTAATATTTCTGTAAGCAATTTGGGTTTTTTTAAACTTGTCTTTTTCTTTCTTCAGTACTTTCTTCAGTATCCCTGTACTTGCTTTTCTGTCTTCGTTCTGAATAGTCACTGCTACTAACAGACAGATAGAAAGTGGAATCTTGGAAAAAGGAAAATACATGCAAAGTCTGAGAAAAGTATCTCGAGATACTAAGCAAAAGGTATTTAAAAAGACTAATTGTAAGTGTAAGTGTAGTCATCAAATAATGTTTAAGATCATAAATATCATAAATAATCTGAATGCATCCTATAATATTCCTGTATACTTTATAATTACTATGGTAAGCCACTAATTAGGTACTGAAGTAGTAAAATAACAAGCAAAACCCCAAACAAAACAACTGGTAAAATGAACACATCTCCAAGTGCTCTTGTACCTCTTCTACGTCGAGATCACTACTGTGAAGGATAATCACTTACACAGACATCATCCCTTTTAAGATTCATACTTCTGCTCCTAAGTACTTCATGTTTTATCACAGCATTAATTTCACAAATGCACATTTGACAGCACTTATGTAATGAATTTCACTGCTACCTATAAATCTTAGTTTTCTAGGATTTGTAATGTATCTTCAGTTCTACAAGGGCAGAAAAACATTAATATACCAATACTAAGCAACAAGAGCAGTAAAAACAAACAGCATGAAAAACATGGAGAAGTTACAGTCATGAAACTACTTTTCTCCATATAAACTTTGGTTGGGGATTTTTGAGAAGCAGGTAGGGTTGAACTGCCTAGACCTCGCTGATGATGTCTTTCAAAGCCATGATCCAAATACCACATACCTTGTCTTCTCTTACACCTTTTTTGTCTGTTTCTTCACACTCCTTCTCAAGTTCATTTTCCAACTTCTTAATTTTTTTCTGAAGTTCATCTATCAGGTTTTGCTCATCAGCTTTGCTCTGAAAAATTACAAACTTTTACCAACTTCAGTTTTAATGACAACTACCTACCTGTTTTCTCCACTCAAAAAATAAGGACTTTAACTCCAATTGGTAGAGTTAGTTAACAACCTAAATGATCTTTTTAAAATTATCTTTAAATTATTAAAGTATTGGAATGTAACTTTGCATTCTAAACTGAATAATCAGCAACAAGTACGTGAATTAAAAAAAGTGAGATGATTCTACTATAAATTCTTCACTTTTCTTCTGAAAGGGGAAATAAGGAAAATCACAAAATTCCATTTCTGAAAGAAGCCTTGAAAGTGGTGATTCAACTCCTCAGACTCTCAAACATTTCAAGGAGCAAGTATTCTTCAGTCTCTTCCTTCCTTTCATTTGAAACATGCTTCAAACAGCAAAAGCTAACAGCTCACATGTAACCCAGCTGATGAGCAAAAGTAACATTTCAAATCCAGTATGTCTCAATGCCTGCCAAAAGTACTCAGTCTTATCCCCAAACCCAGCACGTCTATGCAGAAACTTGACCAAGATCAAACATATTTTTAAAAATCACGTCTACCTGAATGTTACTGCTTAGCCTCTTAACCCGTTTCTTAAGTTCTTCATTTTCTTCTTCCAATTCATTTTTTTCTTTCAACATTTTAGCAAATGCTTTTTCTTTCCTCTGAAGTTCTTGGTTCAATTCATCTCTTTCATCAGACAAGGAAGTTTCCCTGGTTTTACTTGTTTTAAGGTTATCTGTAAGTTTTGTAATCTGATTATTTAATTCTTCTATCTGTGTCTAGAAGAAAACAAACAAAAGAGCAAACCCCTCAAATCAGGATTATTGGTTATACAACAATGCAATACAATGATATTACCTAATACTCACCGTAAACCCCTTTGTTTGTCTGTCAACAATCTCCTGGACATTCATATATGCCTCTTTTTGTGATGCAGCAGAAATAATCTGCTGTTCAGCATTAGCAGTCATTTCTGCTCTGAGTTCCAGAATTGCTTTACTCAAAGCCTGAAAACAGTAAATTCAAGTTCTTTTAAGTGAAGAAGTTGCTAATATGAACATTACAAAACAAGAAAAGGCAACTGGATTTTACTATGTTATATTATGCAGTTATAGTCTTCTGCTGTACTATACATAGAATTCTTAAGCACTAAGCAACATTAAACATTTATGTGACATAGGGATTAATTTTTATTGACTAACTTTTTGCTGCTTCTCTTTTATGGCTAACTGGCTCTTCAGCTGCTCCACCAGATTTTTCAGTGTTGCTGTGGGTGCTCTATTATTTGCTTCTTTTTGGACCTCTAGTTCAGCTTTTACATTTGCAAATTCCTTCTCCATCTGAGATACCGTGTTCCTCAAGACATTTGCCTCATCTTTTAGTTGTTCCACATCAGCTGCGTGTTTTTCACGAAGCCTAATAAAAAATAAGCATTAATAGAGTACACTGCAATAATAAAATTAGCAATTAGTAATTAGGTAAGAACGATTTTTTATCGTTGTTAAAGCAAATGACACATTGACTTGGAAATAACAAGAAAGGACTCACTAAAGAAGGCCTCCATTTAATAATAAAATTGCTCAAGAAAATCAGGAAAATAAGATTAGAGCATTGTTCATTCTAATTTCATCATTCATTGTTCATTCTAATTTACATCTTTAGATGTAAAGAAAGCATTATCATTTCTCCTTTTAAACAGGGGTTACATTTTCGTTACTTTAAACTTGTTAGGCCGGTTAATTTTTCCCTATCAGGGAAAAAAACCCACAAAACAAAGCACAAAAAACCTGAACCAAAGTACAAACCAGGAAGTATCACAATAGCTTAAAGACAACTCTGATACCAATACTTTTCCACTGAATGCCAAAGCTAACAACTGAAAGGCATTTTTCCAAGCCAGGTTTTCAATATTAGCCCCAGCAAAAGGCTACAGATAAAAATAACTTGTGACTACCAACTACCAACAACCAACTAGTTACTACTAGTAACTCTTTTGAGTTAGTTTTTTTCAGCCAAATGTTAAATTCAACAAAAACATGTTCACTTTTAGATCTGTCCCGTAGCAGCAATACATAATTTACTTGTCCAATCCAGTTGTGACTTACATTAACACAGTCTAAAAACTTACTGGGCTCTCATAATCTCAAACTCTTTGATATTCATTGAAGTAATTTGTTTTTGTTTCTCCAAATCAAATGATGTTTTCTTTAATTTTCCAACAAGCAAAGCAATAAAATTATCCTTTTCTGCTACAGCTTGCTCCATTTCAGCCAAGTGGAGAAAATGATTGTTGTTGGAAAGTGATGAAGTCTTTTTTGCTAAATCCTGTAAAAGAGGACAAATGCATGTGGTAATATTTTAAGCTTTAAATCAAAGCTAAGTATTACTGATGCATTTTGAACTTATTCCTGAATATATTCAGGCATTAATATCTAACGTATTTATTTACTGAGATGTGTTTCTTAGTCCACAGAGAAAGCAGTCACTCTGGTTTGAAAAGAGCTTTGTGCATTTAATGATCCTCAGAATAACCAGTTAAATACAGGTTTCACCATATCATAAAGCGTCAAGAAAAAATTTGTATTGAAATGGTTAGTTTAATATAAGAACAGACTGAATGCAGAGACAAATAATATACTTTTCTCTCCTAGAAGTCTCCATAAATTAGGTTGATATGAAAAATGCTCATATATACTGAGGTGGTAACTTTTTTTACACGTGATTTCTAATCCATTTCTTATGAATTTTCTCAAGAATACTACAATAATTCTGTATCCACCACCCGTTTATTTCTCTTGTCATTATTCATTACTTACTTTTGACTGCAAAAGTGTTCTTTTAGTCAACAATTTTAAAAATTTGGGAACAATTTACTGATCACACTTACCAAAGCAGTCTGTTTGAATTTATTAAGGGAATTGTCAGCATACAAATTTAACTTCTGGTGTAGAACTCCAAGATCTTCCTCATGCTTCTTTGCTATTTCTTCTTGTTCCTGTTTGTTCAAAATAAAAGTATAATTCTACTGATGTACACTATTCCAGAAAGCCATGAAACTACAGTACCTTTACGTTGATTCATCACTCATTGTTCAGTATCACTCCCCAAATTTTCCTTTAATTCTGGCAGTTTTAAAATTATTTTCTTCCTGCTATAATCACAGAATCATAGAATAGTTAGGGTTGGAAAGGACCTTAAGATCATTTAGTTCCAACTCCCCTGCCATGGGCAGGGACACCTCCTACTAAACCATGTCACCCAAGGCTCTGTCCAACCTGGCCTTGAACACCATCAGGGATGGAGCATTCACAACTTCCTTGGGCAACCCATTCCAGTGCCTCACCACCCTCACAGCAAAGAACTTCTTCAACAAAGTAATAAGTAGTATGGTGCAACAGGACAGGACCTGGAGAGCAAAACAGCTGGTGTTGGTCTTCACCAACTATAACGATCAATACTGATAGTGATATCTATATTACATACTTCTCCATTTTATTTACTTTGGAATACAGCATGATCCCATGGATTGTCTGTCTGCTAACACAGAGCACGCATTTTTAGACTGCATCTTCTGGTTTAGTTTGAAACAAAAAAAACTTTGTTTCTCCCAGAAGTAACAGCTACACATGTTAACCAAAGCACATTAAGTGAAGATGATTCTAAGTCTGCTTTATAAGTGTGCTCCTGATACAAACACACTAAAACTGATGCGTGTTTAGTCTTGAAGTACCTCTTAGACACAAGGTTTATGCTTTAAGGATATATAAAGTATGCTTAGATACATTGTTTATGCTTTTAAATATGCTTTAATTTAAAATATGCTTTAAGAAGCATATTTTCCATAAATGATGTCTTTCATGTATCTGAATTCACTACAAGATGCAGTCCAGAGATCATTGTTGCAAGTACTGGAAAATTCCATATAACAATACAGTAAGTAAACATATTGAAACCACTTCTCACAGCAGCATTTTAGTTTTCTTCCTGTCACGCTGATTTAATTCCTACACAGACATCATATACATAAAGTCCTGACTGAGCAAGCCTCCTATTTTAAGAAGTTAAAAAATTCTACGTGAATTTTCTACATAGGAAGTTACAAATTGTTTCTGCTCTGTTACCTCTGAGGTCAGAAACTTTTTAAGATTTCAGTAGCAATGAGAGAAACGAAGAATCAACTAAAACAGCATAAAAATAGAAGAAATTTTGTGCAAACATTTTAAGTACCTCTCTTGCTTTAGCAAGCCAATGTTGGTATTTTTTTAACACTTCCTCCTTTTGATTTAATCTTGCTTGCATATTTGCAATGGTTTGATGAGCAATTTTTATGGCATGACGGTACTCTGGATCATCTTGTTTGCCCGACTCAGCCACTGTTTTCTCTCTTTCTGATGGTGCAGATAATCGAAGTCTTAGTTCATTTATAACTTTGTCTCTTGATAAAACATTTTGTTCAGCTTTCCACAGAGCAGTTTCCTTTTCTTTTAATTTCTACAACAAAAGGCAATTGTTGCATTTCCAGAATTCAAACACAGCAAAAAGATCTTACTTTTTAAAAATTTACCAGAAGGTTCACCTAACACGAAATATTTTGTTCTGGCTGTATGGGATTACTGTTAGATTTTAAAAGTCCCAGAATGTAATTACTGTGCCTTTATGAGTTATCTACTTGGCACAAGACCCTTTGCAACTCATTCTGTGCTACCAAATTAAGCTGGTGTTTTTCAAATTTCTTAAGAACCACAAAGTATCTTTTGTAATAGAATTTCAGTTTAGCAACCCACGATAAACGGATTTTTCTTTGCTACTTCTTATATCTAATGTAACACTTGTTAAATTGAATTAATAATTTGTTCCATTGGAAAAAACGTTTCATTTTAGTCACGATGTGATTTACCTTTTCTCAGTGTTAAATATTTTTAAGGGACTGGACACATCTGAGTGACATTTATAAAAGGATATTTATTATACATAAAAAATTAAAGGGCACAGATATACAAACTTGTCCCTCTATATGATAATTTAAACATTTAATTACCTCCTCCAGTGATTTGCAGGTTGCCCTGGTTTCCAAGATTGTTCGAATATGCTCCTGTATTTTTCTCAAAGCCAACTCAAGCTGCTGTGGAAGGGGTAAACTAGAGTCTGGAACTGACCCAGTAGCCTCTTCTAACTGTACAGAAATATTAACATTTGCGTAATCTGACAGCTCTGCAAAACATGCTTCTAAGTATATTTTTAGTTAATTCATTGCAATTACCTTTAAAGCTGTATTACATGCCTCATTTTGTTGATGATCATACAGGTCTAATTGGCGCTGGAGTTCTACTTCCCTCTGGTCCCAAGCCATTTGCCTTTCTTCATGAAACTGTAACAAATGTTTGATAAGGTGTTTTATTTAGTGAAGATGATGGGAATTTTATAACTAACTCAAACAGGAAAAAAAAGAGATACCAAAATGTAAAACACTCAAGTGTGCCATTAAAAAGAATTAATGGAGCTAAGATACAAACATCTATGCTAAAAACTTACTAGGAAGAATCTTTCTTTTTTAAATCACTTAGTAAAATAAGGAATATGCTGTTTTTCTAATAGCATACAGAAATAAATACCTTGTTTTGCTGTACAATTTCTTCTTCCAGGTTATTGATTGTACGTTCATATTCAGAAATTATATTCTGCAAATGCTTAACCTCTTCCTTTTGCCTGATTAACTCTCGATTGAGTTTAAGTTCCTGCAGATGGAGTTCCTCCATTTTCATATGCCATTCAATTACCTTATAATGAATAATACATAGTAGTATAATTTACCAAGCCCACAGGACAACTAGATGCAGTTATGCTCTTTGACTTTGAAGCGGTTATGTTACTGATCAAACCAACAGGAAGAAAAGACATTCTGCCTTTTTAAACTTCTTCACTTCTCTTGAGTGAGTAGGCACAGAATGACTAAAAAGTGCAGGAGACAACAGGAGAAGGAACAGGTTTCCCATACACTGACATAAATGTATTACAAATAATTTTCAAATTAACTAAGGTAGACCCTGTCCTGGCTGAACACGAAAAGCATGGAAGAAGTTTGGCTGACTTCTAAAACAGCACAAGATTTTCAAAACCATTAAAACTGGAAGTATTCAAAAATGCAAATGTGCTAAGAGTAACAAACATATTCATGTCAAAATGCTCTAGAAGATTCGTTGAAAACTGGCTTAAACATGCCAAGAGCACTACAACCGTTGCTTACATGCAGACATCTTTAGCCATGACAAACATAACCGGATTATATAATATACAGTGATCAGAAGAGTGAGAAAGCCTTAATCAAATTTCAAGGCAACTTTGTTTACAATAGCAAAATATTATGAAGTGCAATCTCATGCAAGCTCATGGTACAGAGCTTCAGAATGCTACTCTTGAGTTTAATTTAATTTGATTCATAATTAAATTCAATTTAATATAAGTGGTTTCATAGTTAGCCTCTACTTCCTCTGCCACTTAACTGGGCACAAAAGAAAATTAGTAAAACTGACTGTGCCAACTTTAACAGGGTAAATAACTAATGATGTATTACTTTAAAAAAAAAAAAAAGAAACAAAAAAGTGATATGTCATATTTCTACAAAGTGTATTTTTAAATCATTAATTTCTACATTAAACAAGATGTTTAGGTAACAAGCTGAACTGAAATGCAACTGAAATGCAGATCAAATGAACAAAGTTATTCAAAGTTGTAAAATAGCAAACCTTTTGAGCTCCTCTTGTGTCCTTCAAGGCACTTATTAATTCTTCTAAACTTTTCAGTTTTAACTCCATCTCTAATGCTCTGTTTTCTGCATTTCGACGCTCCTCCTGAGCGTGCTGAACTTCCTCCAGGATCTTCAGTTTGTCATTCTGTAGCTGAATCATCGTTTTAGAGAATTTTTCTTGCTGTGCTAAAGGCAGAGCACCACTAAACTGTCGACGCAAAGACTGAACTGTCTGTTGTAGATGTTTGGTTCTATTTCTTCCTTCCAGTCGAGCAAAATATAAGGCTTGCTCCCTCTCATCAAGCTTCTGCTCTAAACGTACATTATGGATCTCCATCTTCTGTAATTTCAATTTAAGCGTCTCCAATTTGCCTACAGCATCAGATTCATTATTTTGAAGGTATATGATCTGTTGATGTAGTTTTGCGATAACTGTTTTTTCATCTGACTGTGCCTAAGAACAAAATTTACAGAACAAATCTATTTTTCATTTTGAATATGTCAATGCAGTGTATATGCAAATACAAAGCTATTGTTTTTATTATTTTCTATACTGCATGTATTTTACTCCATAGATAAGAGCAATAATTAGCCTCTAAATCCAGCTTTTTATTTTTCCACTATTGTTTCTACAGCCACATTTCAGAATTACCAAAATACCAGGAAATGAGGAAGAAATATATACCTAAACTTACAAGTATGGTAATAAAAACTGACACTAAATGTTGTATTTAGGAACTCAAACCAATCTAGAACATGAAAATAAATGCCACAAAATTGTTTCAGCTAATAACAAAGCAATGTAATAAGTCTACTGCAAATCTTCAAGATTTACGTGTCATTGCTTGTCTTGTAAAAAAAGACCAAACTTTCCCGATATTATATTTAAATAAGATCATGAGCTATTAATCATATGGGAATAAATATCAGCTAAATAACACAGACAAAAAAAAGCTCAGGATATCTAATATATGTACATCTAGAAATGAAAGAAATGAGGAGGGAACAATCAATGTAATACAGAACTCTTGAAAGGGTATGGCTACAACAAGGACCAGCTTGTTAAGATCCTCTCAAAATGCTTTTGTAGTTTCCTAGTTCACTGTAAAATTACTCTATTTCTTCTCACTCCAGGGAAAAAAATTCAAACTGCAGTGGTAATAAAGGTTGCCTCTTACCTGATAATCTAAAATTTGCATCCTAAGGCATTCCACTTCTTTATCTCTGTATTGCTGGCGTGCCTCCAGAGCTTCAACTTGCATTGTTGCCACATCAGACAGTTCTCTTAACCTTGCATGGAAAACAAAATTATTGTGTCACCTGAAACCACTGAATGTCCTATGAAGTTTTTCTACACAGAAGAAAAGATGCTTAGTATGTTTCCTCATATCAAAACATCTGAAGACTTTGCTCTTTTCAGCATACTTCTACATAATACTTGGAGTCCTGGTTTGGAAAATTCTTCTGTATTCTCTATTTCTTCAAAGGACATTTTCCTATAAATTATATAGAACTTTGCTAGCAGTAATCTACTCCAGGAAAGTAGTGCCCTGTTTTTTACCTCAACTACGTATCTCTGTCCTCTATCTCTCTCCTACTTCAGGACATAAATGCTCAAAAAGTTTCATTCTCAGTTCCTTTCTCTGCTTCCCCAAGTCCCATTACTCATTTTCAGCGTCAAAAATCACTGCAAATATCCCACAGACTTTGCTGTTTTAGTGATACAACAGGATTACATCATTTACACAAAGACAAATGTCTTTATCAACATAGCTAAAAAAGTCAATTGTTCAATTTATGCATGCAAAGTTAATCTCTTTTAAGTAAATGGTACCCCCTGCAGTTTACCTTTAAATTATCTATCAGTCATTCAAAATGAGAATTATTTTCCAATTTCTTTTATGGGTTCTTTATATATTTAAGGAAGGTTGTGTAGCAGAAACAAAATAAGCCTTAATTCTTAGTTTAAAAATACCAGAAATAAGTGTCTAAGCTCACACTTACCCTATCCAGGCCAGCATTTAATTCCTTGGTGAAATCAAATTTAATCAAACTACTTTCTTCGTAGTCATGAATTAAATGCTTAATATATAATGCCAAAAAAATTAAGCATTAAAAATTATGTTAGAAACACATAAGTATTGTTTGGTTTGTGCATTGGAGGGAAGGAATGCCATCCAGAGGGACCTCGACACGCTTGTGAGGTGGGCTGATGCCAACCTTATGAAGTTTAACCATGCCAAGTGCAAGGCCCTACACCTGGATTGGGGCAATCCCAAGCACAGCTACAGGGCAGAGAAGAGATCCAGAGCAGCCCTACAGAGAAGGACTTGGGGGTGTTGGTCGATGAGAAAATGAACATGAGCCGGCTTCAGTGTGCGCTTGCAGCACAGAAAGCCAGCCGTATCCTGGGCTGCATCAAAAGGAGCGTGACCAGCAGGGCAAAGGAGGTGATCCTGCCCCTCTACTCTGCTCTTGTGAGATCTCACTTGGAGTATTGTGTGCAGTTCTGGTGTCCTCAACATAAAAAGGACATGGAACTGTTGGAACAAGTCCAGAGGAGGGCCACGAGGATGATCAGGGGATTGGAGCACCTCCGGTATAAAGACAGGCTGAGAAAGTTGGGGCTGTTCAGCCTAGAGAAGAGAAGGCTGCATGGAGACCTCATAGCAGCCTTCCAGTATCTGAAGGGGGCCTATAAAGACGCTAGGGAGGGACTCTTTATTAGGGACTGTAGTGGTAGGACAAGGGGTAACAGGTTAAAACTTAAACAGGGGAAGTTTAGACTGGATATAAGGAAGAAGTTCTTTCCTGTGAGGGTGGTGAGGCACTGGAATGGGTTGCCCAAGGAAGTTACAAATGCTCCATCCGTGGCAGTGTTCAAGGCTGGGTCGGACAGAGCCTTGGGTGACATGGTTTAGTGTGAGGTGTCCCTGCCCATGGCAGGGGACTTGGAACTTTATGATCTTAAGGTCCTTTCCAACCCTAACTATTCTGTGATTATGTAAACCTATATAGCTTAAATTTTTGCATGCTTCCAAACATACTGCATGTGAAATTTGTTATATCAACACTTACTTTGATACCTCAGTCTTGAGTTCCATCTCACGCTTTTCTAGGTCCATGATTTGTCGTCTATCTGCATCACTTACTGCCTTACTTACACTCTTTGACAATTCATCTCTTAATTCCTGTTCCACTTTCTGTGCCTCCAGGTTGATTTTGGTAAGCTTAAAAAAAACCAAAACAAACCAGAAAAAAACAAAATGTATTCTAAGCACACAAATGCTGTCAACCCTGCAAAGAAAAAGCAGTGCCAAAAGCATCTTTTCTTTAGTTGTTAAAAAACACTGTTCAGCTGTGTTGAAAACACAATTTCACTTATTAGGACTGGTAACACAAATATCAGTGCGAAGTGTCATTATAGTGTAGATCTTTTGTTATTTCTAATACAAAAGACTTTCATATTTAAGTGATATTCTTTCAAGCAGCCTGATTTTTCAAATACCAAGTAACCAATGTTTTCAGTCCAAACCAATGAGCATTAAGAAAAGATAGATATCTGAAAAGTGTTAGACAACATGGAGAAGCCTCAGGAATGAATTTAGTAAATATAATTTATGGTGGCAGATTAATCTGATACCACCCCTTAATAAAACCTGGTTTCCTAAACAGAGAAAATAGTGTATCTTATTACCTGCACTTCACATATCTGAAGCACTAGTATCTGGAAATCTAACAGTTGTGTTGAGTAGATTTATGAGTATCTGAAGGGGGCCTATAGGGATGCTGGAGAGGGACTCTTCAATAGAGACTGCAGTGATAGGACAAGAGGTAATGGGTTAAACAGGGGAAGCTTAGATTGGATATAAGAAGGAAATTCTTTCCTGTTAGGGTGGTGAGGCACTGGAATGGGTTGCCCAGGGAGGTTGTGAATGCTCCATCCCTGGCAGCGTTCAAGACCAGGTTGGATGAGGCCTTGGGTGATATGGTTTAGCGTAAGGTGTCCCTGCCCACGACAGGGGGGGTGGAACTAGATGATCTTAAGGTCCTTTCCAACCCTAACGATTCTATGATTCTATGTCTGGTAGATTTTTTCTACTTACCAATTCTTAAACTGATATCACTTACAACTTTCATTGGTTACCTTAGCACAATGTTGTTATATATATACATATAAATATCTCTTTCAAAAAAAGAAAAAAGCAGTGATGCTGGATTAGGAGGCACTGACAACAGGAGTGTATGAAACAGAAAACATACGTCCTGGAGCTACAGGAATGAGGAAAAAAAGGGATACACAGAGAAACTACTAAGAAAAAAATGTGGAGTTCATCAATTCAGGATGAAGGAAGATGCGTAGACCTAAATATATCAAAAGGTAGATAATATATGCAAAAGGGAAAAAGGAAAATGTGATCTCAGGGTGCATGATCTGAGATACTTCTTAATGAAATAAAAGAACACATGCAATCAAAGTTTTTAACAATACAACACTGCTGCTGAAAAGCTTTATACTTTCTGTTACTCCATGTCCCAAATAAATTAAAATGAAAACCATGTAACAAAACTGTGCTAAAGCCCAGAGAAATGGTAAGTCAGATAACAGCAATGCAAACCAGTTAGGCTAAATTCTAGCAAGGCACAAGCAGGGGGAATGAATACAGTCTACCAACATTCCTGTCAACATAACTATTTCTTCTCTTGTGTTTAAATTACAGACCAACACTGGCACAAGAACAAACATGTAAAATTGCTTAAATAAATTTAACTGGAAATTATAATAAAGTTTCCTACTACTAAAGAATTTGTGTAACAAATTTCAAATACAAGTAGTTAGGACAAAAAAAATCTGAAAAGATTAAGGCTGATATGACAGGAATACTATAGATCACCAGCTTCAATAGCACACTCTTCTCTTCTATTCCTGCATTATAGATAATGTTTGGCATGTAACAGAGGACATAACCAGTCTATAACAGAACCATGACACTATCATTTGCAAATGGGATGCAAAGGCCTAACATTTTTTTAATCATTGGTAATTAAGGAAAAGTTAGCAGAAAAGGGATCATATGAATTAGACACAAGAAATAAGAACAAAACTTTTTCTAGCAGTCTGCTGAAAAAGTAGCAAGCTATTTTACAGAGATGATGTAATGATGCATTTTACAGAGATTAACTAAACTACTGACAAATAAATTATCATATGTACTGTGCATGCAGGACTGCAGCTCTTAAAGGCAGCTATATTTTGCATAAGCTTACTTGCCAGTTGTGATACAAATTAATATTTTTTGAAAAGCTCAAGGATATGCTTCTAAGATGTGTGAAATTACGTTGTAAATTCTCAACAGATTTACCTCAGCAAATTTTGTTTCTAATTCAAAATTACGTTCTTCTATTTGCTTTACAGTATTCCTTAACTGTTCATACATTCGTTGTGAATGTTCTGCTCTCTGTCTTTCATTTAGTTCCTTCATTTCCAACATGGTGATTTTCTTAGAAATGGACAAAATCTCACTGTTGGTTACTGCCTTTGTGGCCTTATCCATGGTATTGTCATCCCCTACATTAAAAAAATATTTACATTAGGAAATACACAAACTGATTCAACTATAAAATTATTTGCACCATGAAACAGAATATGAGTTTTGATTTATCTCTGTCAGATAATTTTTACTGTATTACTTCTTTAAACTGGAGACATGGTTATCTTGCCTTATTACGTGTTTGAAAAGTATCTAATTTGAATAAAATATCATTATCAATTAAAAATGGGCATATCTGCAACTATCCTTATTGAGACAGATAAGTATTTTCAGTGTAGCCTTTCATTCTGTCCTGAATTCAACTGGCAAATCTTCAGGAAATTTAATTTAAGATCTGTGAAGGCAATCGAAGTGGATGAGTTGTTCCTGAATAATGGGACTGTAAACTGTACAGAAAGAAGCCTCAGCTATCAAGAAAAAAATACTGTGCTACAGAGCATGAAACCAGGAAATTCCAGCTTTTAAACCCTTAACCCAAGAAAAATCAACGTGGAACAATTTACAGAGGAAGAAAAACAAAGTTGGTATTGGTCAAACAGATAAATAAAATGAAACAAACAAAATCACCAAAAAAATTAAGATTGTTAATGACAAAGACAAAATAGTTTTGACTGTTCTGTTTAAGATGTATAAAGTTTAAAACATTTTGAGATATTACTTTCATGCAGGACATACCATTTGATTTTTAATGCTGCAAAATAACTTTCATACTTGCCCAGTTTAGTCATCTGTTCCCAAGCCTGTTCTACAGTGTGAAGTTTCTCTTTCGTGATCTCCAATTCCTTATTCAATAAATTTATCTGTGCTTTCAAGGATATATTCTCACACTGTATGACAAAAAAGTTGCAACATAACAGCAAAGTATTTAACTGTAGCAGAATTAGTATCTATAAAATCTTTTCAATTAACAGATTAATGCATAGCCCATAATCTACATACACCACAACAGAAGAGCGTAAGTTTCCCCCCAAGTGTAAAAATGCTAGTCTTTTTTCTCTATGCTGTATCTTACTGCCAACTAGTATTACTGTGAACATTTATCACCAGTGACTGATTCCTAGAGTGTCTAGAATTAGATGAAGAAATCTGTAATATTAAACAGCTTACTAACACTGGGAAAGAAAAAAGTACTTCTGGAAGATATTTCATCCTGCACAGGATACTTCATGTTGCACATAAATACATATTTGAGATGGATCATATGCTTCTTTTAGTGCTTTTAAACATCTAATATGATGAAAAACATCAGTTTTGTAAATGTTCCTTCACTCCTCCACACAGAAACAAAAATTTCCACATTAACCAGTAAAGCAAATAGAATAACTCATATTAAGGAAGCCAACTGTATCCTGGGCTGCATCAAAAGGAGTTTGACCAGCAGGCTGAAAGTGATCCTGCCCCTTTATCTGCTCTTGTGAGACCCCACTTGGAGTACTGTGTACAGTTCTGGTGTCCTCAACATAAGAAGCACATGGAACTGCTGGAGCAAGTCCAGAGGAGGGCCATGAGAATGATCAGGGGGCTCAAGAGCTTCCCATATGAAGACAGGCTGAGAAAGTTGGGGCTGTTTTATGATTCTAATTTCTAGTTTTCTAAAAACATTTTTCATTTGTTATGATAAATGATTCTCTACCTCTGTGAAACTGCTGAAATAGGCAATGCACAAAACTTCAGAAAATTTCAAAAATTTCAGCTGACACAAATGCATCCACCTGTTCCCAAGCAGACAAATTCAGTAGTTCAGTAAGTTTACCCAGCACATGTATTTAACCCCTGTCAACCAAAGAAACCCAACAGACAAGAACATGACATGAGCTTTATCTATTTAAACTACTACTTTCTTGGACTGTTATTTCCGACATGAATGAAAAGTGGGAGGTAGTAACGTAGCTTTGAAGCCAGCTTTACAGTTCTTGAAAAGAAGTTCCTTTCTACTTGAGAATAAATGTTCAAAAGAATAGCTACATATTTACAACCCCTACAACATTTTGCAAATGCATTGTGAGCAGTCTTTGGTTGCTTACTTTTTTTTTTTTATGGTGCAAAAGGCTTACTAGTTACTGCCTTTTGGAACTGTACATTTCATTCTTGTAAATCAGAAATTAGTAACAGCATTTACTTTGAGAGAAAGCTTTAAAAGTGTATACACTCATTCTACTTTCCTTATTACCTAGAAAATGGAAGACGGTAACAAATACTCCTTCTGCCAGCCTTGTTTTGGTAATCAAAGAACTAAAAATACTTTGTGAGGGAAAATACCCACACTTAAAAAGCAAACATAATCAAATAAACCAACACACCAAAACAATTCAACGGAATGATCTTAAGGTCCTTTCCAACCCTAACTACTCTATGATTCTACGTATGCTCATTGAAATAAAATCTGTGACTTTGTGTATGTTTCCTAATCCACTGAAAATTACTGGAGACACGAAATCAATTCAAAAGCAACAGTAAGACTGGCTCTAACATCTCATACCCACTATGGGACTGATATAACCAGCAGTATCAGTGCTGGGACTTGTGTTCTATCTTTCTATTATGTGGGAATGAAAACCAATACAAAACAAATGTATAATGAAGGAGTTTTTCCCTTAGGAGAGGTTCAAACATAATGGAAACATTACCTCCACATGTTCCATGTTCATTGTCTGCTGGACGAGCACATTATCTTTTTGTAACATATCTCTGTATTTAGCAGTTAATGCATTATACTGCTTATTAGCCAGCTCTAGCTCAGACAATGGCACACTACCATCCAACACTTTTTGCAGAGCTGCAATCTTAAAGCTAGCCATTTCCTATGAAAACAATCAGCACAGTACATTATTAAGGTCTGCTGGATCTTTAAATAGGAAAATTAAAATTACTTCACAGAAAATACTATTTAATATAATGCTTTAGAACATAATACTGGTTTATTTTACTAAACTACTGTCCATCTTTATAAATTGCTTGCAATAAGCACTGATAAAATTTTTCTGGTATTCCAACTCTCTGGGTGATTTTATCAACAGCTGCCTCATGAACGCACTGTCAAAACCATACTTTACAAAGATGAGTTAATAGAGGCCCTAGGAACCTGCAAGGTCAAAACGTAATTTGGTTTCATATGACACTTTCAAGTAAAAAGAAGGAGAAAACTGACAGGTTTCATATTATGATGCTTATGTAAACACAAAGAATCTTTCGACAAAATTTACAGCAGCATTTGACAAGCATTTGGGTAATGCATTCAAGAAACTAATAGTGTCTCCATTTAAAAACAAACAAAAAAGGCATTTATTGCCAAACTGTGAAAATAAACATATGTACTATCACTACTGTAAATACTGTACCTTGAATCGTTGCAAGTTTCCAATCTTCTCTGTAACTGCAGTCTCTATATGTGTTATTTCACCCTTTAGTTTCTCATTTTCTTTTCTAAGATGCCGTTCTGTTTCAAGTAAAGTGGTATACTGCCTTGTTAATGACCTCTCATTAACTCGTAAAACAGTTATTTTTCTACTGTTCTCTGCAAGTACTTTCTTTGTTTCATCAGGATCCAGCTGAAGTGCACTGAGTAGATTCTGTAACACAATTTTTTAAAAGAACCTTGTATAGAAATAAGGTAAGATTCAACTCCATAGACAAGCTTTCTTGTACAATTTTATTTAGGTGTGAAAATTCTGTTCATCTGTGTTGAACTAATTTCTTTTTGCTAATAAAAATTACTTACAGAATATGCCTTTATTTTTGTAGCATCCTGTTCTTTTTGCTCTTCTAGCTTTTTCATTTTCTCTTTCATATCTTCAGACTCTTTCTGCCAGCTTTCCTTTTGACTAAAACAGTAATTAAGTATTTTCATTTATAATGATAAAAGACATGATGATTTTTAAAAGTGTAACTATCTGCAAATATTACAAACCAAGATACTTATTTTTAGCAGTAAAATAATTTGAAAAATATATTGTAAACTGTAGCTGGATTACTGAAAAACTATCCCCTCTGTTTAGGCTGCATCTGATTTAATGATGAAGTAATTCTTAAGTTAAAGTGTCTTACCTCATCTACATTCTTCAACATTCAGATAGTTGAACTTTCAAAATATAGAAAAGAGAGCAATACCTTTGATATTCTTTATACAGCAAGCCTTGTTGATGACGAATTACTGCAAATTTTCGCTTGTAGTCTTCTACTGCGTCTTCTAATTGTTTAAGTAACTGTTCTTTATTTTCCAGTTCCTAATAATTATTTTCCAAATATAATATTGAAGTGATTAACAAAGGTTTTACACATGAAAGTATTACTCAAAATGCCAGTTCTCCCTTTTTTTTTCCATGATAGAACCTTCTGTCATGAACTGTACAAACTGCAGATATTAACTGTGTATTTTCTTTAGAAGCAACAGATAAAACCAAGTCCAATAAAATCTGGGATACATATTAATATAAAGGTGTGAAATAGTGCATCATTGCAGTGTGAATTACAGTCCTCAGCGTTCAAGCCACCACAACATGAGGCTAGCCCACAAAGAATACTAACTGAATGTCTGACTGAAAAGCAATGTTTTCTTATGTTCCCAAATACTCTTCTATAATCATACACACCTGAAAGATAATCTCTAATCAAGAAAATTGATCAAAGACAGAACAATATAATTTAACAATAAGAAAAATGCAAGTTCTTTTTACTGTACAAGCCTTCTTTACTGTATGATCAATGGCTCCTGTTTAAATGTATTTATGCCTCTCTTTACAAATGTTGATGTATTTTTGACAAATAATGGAAAGAAAATTCACATGGTAGATAAACAGAGACCTTTGCTGTATAGAGAAAACCTATTCAGAGTAGGATTTGCACATGCAGACTCAGGTGTAGAGTCCAGACAGCAGTAACAGAGAATTTCTCATAGAAAGAGTGCAATTACAGAAGTAGAAGGAAGAGTGAGCAAATAGTTAGATCAAAATTTAGATTTAAAAAAAAATCTGAATTGTTCTAAGATTTAAGTATTTACCTTCCAGGTTTGCAACACAGCAAAATACTTTAAGCTTAAAAAAACTAAACAGAATAGCTCAAGGAATTTAGCTGATGTCAGAACTTCAAAGTAATTTTTGAGCAACCTCCCGTGTCCATACAAGGCATGGTATTACATTTCAAAAGAATTAGCCATATGTTACAAATATTCTTGATGTTAAGGAGTAAATGAGTTACCTGTACAAGATGTATTAAATATTCATTCAGAGAGTTAATCATATTAACACTTGAAGGAACCATTCCTTCTGGAAGATTCACTGTTTGGAAGACAATATTGGCACCTTCTGACTGCTGTAATAAGGAAATTTCATTTTTCAATTGTGCAATCTAGAAAAAAGAAACAAAACCATAAATCAGCTTTTCCTATTCAATTAAAAATAAACTTATGGAAAACATAGTTTTCCTGTGCTACATCAGTTGTTATTAACAACCTAATTCACTTTCCACTGATGTTCTAAAGTAGTCAAATACTCTTTAAAGTAATCTTTTAGAAATGCTCTGATTCCATAAATCTTTAAATTTGGATCTTAAGCCAAATTTATGAAATTACTCCAGTAGTCAGGGCAGCTTCATATCTGAGTATTCACTACAGTTTTATTCCAAATTGTTAAAAATGCAGTGCATTTCTATTCCTTTTGAAAAGATAGTTTTGGAAAGAATTATTACAGTGGTATGATGGTTTATTCGAAACAAATCTTTGCCTTTCCATATAACTTTTGAAAAGCTCTGATTCTCTACTCTAACAGTACATAAAACACTATTCTAGAATATTAATTACTGGGAACTCTTTTTGTATCACCAAAGCTATTCTAAAAAGCAAATTTAAATTTGGCTTCTTGTCAGACAATAATTCATTCCTCATTCCTGCCCTCGAAAGCAGCATTCCACAAAAATCAATTGCATAACTTAAAACAAGAGAGGATTTTAGAGAATGATTCACATTTTAGAACACTTAATCTCTGTTACTTAATAAAAAACAAATGCAAGACTACTGGCTTCTTGAAGAAAGAAATCCGTGAGCTTTTTGGGGACATCTCTCTCCAAAGATAGGTATGAATGGACTTTAGCATGATAGGCTATTCCAAGGATAAAGTAACATTAAGAAGAGTAAGATTTGAACTTAAAATGGACAAATTGGTAGATCCAATATATATACTTCAGATTTGCATAATTCCACTGTTCACATAAGCTAAATTTAGTATCTTATAGATATTGTGGTTTTGTTCTGAATTATTAGAGCAGCCACTTTTCAAGCACAAAATAAATTGTATAAAATAAATCGTATACCTTTTCATTTGCATTTGCCAGCTGATTAGAGAAATTTATTGCCTCTTTGTGAGTCTGTCTCAGTTCCCGTCTTAATTCTTCATTTCGTCCTGAAAGCTGATCAACCTGAGCTTTCAAGTGCACACTAATATCAAAGATTCCTTCTGAATTCTTTGACTCCATTGCCTAACACAGTAAACATTTAATCAACAAAACAGAGAAAATGTTAAAAAAAAAAAGCTTTTCTGCACATAATAAACTGGAATCCTCAAATTTAGACTATATAAAATTGGCAAAAAGAATGAAATCTTAATGTTGTAAAATCTACATATCAGTTTCCTGTATAGTTTACCATAGACTATGGCTTAAATTATTCAATTTTCCTGTAAAGGAAAAAAAAAAAAAACTATAAAAAAAAAAAATCACCCTTTTTTTTTATTTGCAAGATGTTTGAATAAAGAATTTTTTCTTAAACTCTGCAGGTCCCAGAGATAAAAGACATGCAAACAAACTTTTACCTAAGCTTTATGACTGGTACAATAAATTTACCAAAGGCAGGTTTGTACCATCCAGCTGAAGGTGTTTTGTTTAATTTTTACTAGCAATCTCCTGTTGCTGAATATTATAAATTTGCATTTTTAAAGAGGTATTATACTACGTATTCCTACTTGTAACTATGGATGCATATGTATAAGGAAGCTAATATTTAATTATACAATAACCCACTAATCGAGGAGAAAACAGAAGCTTATAAATCCCATAAAACTAAATAATACTTCAGAAAGGAAGCTTACGTTAACTAAACGATCCAGACTAGGGATTATTAAGGCTGTTTCTCCTCCCTTCACATTAGAATCCTTCTGCATTTCCTTGACAGCTTGCAATATTTCTTTCATTCCTTGTTCAAGTTGTTTATTCTCTTCTGATAATTCTTTTACTGTAATAAAAATTGTAAATGCATCTAAAAGCATTGAAAAAATAATTTAAGATTTCCTGGGACATGTCATTATAATACTTGTTGATTTGATATGGAGAAAGAATGTTCATACTATATATAAACATAACCAATTAGGATGTGAAAAGTAAAGCTGCTAGGAACATCTACAGGGTGTATTTTGCTGGTCAAATACAAACAAAATATAATATGAATGAAATATGAAATGCATATGGGAACACATCTGAGTTTTTTGAACCTTCCAGCCTCCAATGTTTCCTGCCATTCTCTTCAATTCTTTAGTAGCCTGTCTGACTAGCTTTCACAAATCCAGAAACGTGGCTATCTTGGAAATGTTTGCGCTTTACAAGGAGGTATATGGAAATTGCCTGAATTCCCTGATTCTGGGAAAAAAAGAACATTTAAATTACTTTAATAAGGACTCTCAAAACATACAATTTTCCTGCCACCATTAGTTTGACAGTAGAAATTTCAGATTTCCCAAGACAGAGCAAGAAGTCTGGAAACTTTTAAAAAACCCAAACAAGAAATCGCTCAGGACTTTTTCTGCAAGTTTACAAGATGGCTAACTGTTCTGAAGATACAGGAGTGCATGCAATATTTGGAGCAGTAAAAGATTCTTGTCTAGAGAAATAAGCATTATTTTTACTTTGGACTTTTTGAGCAGTACTCTTCAGCTAATGTATATGTAAGCAATGAATGGGTTTAATTCCCAAACACTTCCTTGGAGTCAAACAAGCACCGCAATCACACAAGTAAATTGTTCTAATTGGGATCACTCACAGACTTGAAGCCCTTATATGGTCTGATTCAGGAAGGAAAAACGTGAGAGATCCTAGTTTAACATATTTAGTATGAATTAACTATGTTTCATGTTCTATCACTAATTTAAAAGTAGCAGCACCATGTATGTATTCATACACAAGTACACAAAAATACACACTAACATAAACACAAAATTTAAAAAGTCATTAATCATAATTCAAAGAAATTCCAACCTGATAAATGCCATTAACATTCATTGTTTTCTCATCATTGTGTTCACACCTGGACCAATCCACAACCATAATGCCCACAGTTCATAAGTATGTAAGAATGACTGTCTAATAACCTTCTATGCACACAGCAAATACAATCACTGTGAAAGACCAAAGTAAACTGCATTTAAAACAGAAACTGCGAAGTTAGATATTTGTGGTCACAAAATAAGCAAACTATCTGCAGGTGCCTGATAACATTCCCTAGTTTTAAAACAGGCTGTAACTTACATTTACATTGAAATTTGGCTATTTTGGTCCTGTTCCTCTCCAAATCTCGCTCTCTCATACTTAATTCATTTGCAAGATACTCATTCTAAAGAAAAGAAGAAAGACGTCTCAAAAATCATAGTTCAGGAATTTCAGTATTAGAATTTTCATTAAGACTCTGTAGTTAAATGAGAATGTTAGAAAATATTGCTAATTCATGTATGTTCAACAGTGAAATTACACAGTACGTAAACCAAGATGAGGTGTTATATAGAAGGCAACAAAGAAACAGCCTCATCTTCACAGAAGCAGAATTATCAGGAAAAACCCGTAAATAAATTTTACATAAATATTTACCCTGTGGGGTTGTGTGTGTTTGTGTGGTCTTTGTTTGTTTGTTTGTGGGGGTTTTTTGGAGGCATTGTTTTTTTTGTTTTGTATGAGATGCAAGGCTATATGCACAGAGGAAAATGATGAGTACTTTACTTACACAGATGTGCGGAAGGTCTTAGAATAAAAACTATTCTGTCTTTGTACCTGTCTACGTGTGTGTGTGTGCACAGGTGTTATGCAAATTTTTTCCACCAATGGAATGAAAATATCTGCCTATGTTAACAAATAAACTGAAAATGAATGACTTGGCACTTTTTTTATTACAAGAAAAAATGCCAGTTCCATTTGAAGTATGCTATAGCTTTACTTAATAAAGATGAAAGTAAACTAACACATCTGCATTATTTGAATTTACCTTCTGAATAACTGCAATAGATATAAGCATATGCATACTATAAATGTCTCACCTGTGATCTAAGGGTTAATTCTCTCCTCAATTGTTCTATGAGATTTTCAACAGGATCTACCTGACCTGAGTGTTCCGATTGTCCATTTTTGAGTCCATTTTCCAAAGTTTTTACTTGCAAGAATTGTATTAGGCATTTGTTTCCTCTGTCTTCTTGAAAGGTAGTTAAATCAAAAAACTTTACTTGCAAATAGTCTTGCTCATCCTTCAGTGCCATTACTTGTGCTTTGTCTGTTACTAGCTTTTCAAGAGCAGATGCACAAGCAGTCAGAGAGTTTTTCCAGACAGACTGTCTTGGGGAAAAATTTTCCTCACCTGTTTGGTCTGAATTAGAAGTTCTGGACACTTGATTCTGAAAAGATGGCTTGTTTCTGTAATTTTGGTTATTTACCTCTGAGGTCTCACACACTGGCTGATAAGGAGAAAATGAACCTGTGCAGTTTGAGTCTTCTGATACCTCTCTATTGTCTGCATGATCTGTTATCCCTGATGTCTGTGAAAACTGTAGGTCTGCTGATATGTAACGTTCTTTTAAACAAAGAGTTTCAGAACTACAGTTGTCATTAATTAGTTGCCACTCTGAACATAAATGAACCAAAGAAGCACTTCTACTTTTTTCCAAGGCATCTGAATTCTGAAGTATGCCAGAAGTTCTTCTACGTAGACTTCTCACAGCCTTACTTTTTTTCAGCTATATCTTTCTCTGACTTCAGAAGTCTAACTGGTGCTTCTCTGTCTGCCTATGTGTTTCTCCCTTCCATGTTGTATGAGCTGCTAGCCTATACTCACAAAAAATTCAGAATACTCAGTAGTTTTCTAAAAAAAATTACAAATTATTAATTCTTTAAAAGTTGTGAATAAAAGCACCACATATTTGAACAGATATTTACAAATATCTGTTACATATTACTTTTATTTCAAAAGAGAAATACAGCAAATGTTTATGAACTTGCTTTATGAACCTACCTTTGCTTTTGCTTCAGTAATATCCTGTCTGTTCAAGAGATCCAACTTCCTCTTATTCATTCCCTTCTCTTCAGTAAAGCTATCTGTTATCTGCACATTACCAGCATCCAATCCTAATTGCAAGTAAATGTATGCATGATGATTATGAATTTTTAACTTTTCAAGTCAAAGGAATATATTCCACTTAATACATCTGAGTTATGGTTTTCTACCTGCAAAGGAAGGAGCTGTAAACCCTTCCATTTGAGCGCATGCTTCCATGAGTGGCACAGAATTCAAATTTTAAGATTTCTGAAAACATACATTATACAGATCTCTTGGAAATCATGGTGAGAACATCCTTCATCCAAGAACTGCAAGCCAACCACACAACTCTCAGTGATGCACTACTAGCCACTGCAAGTCAAAAAGCTACTGGGCTATAAGACTGAAAATACAAAAGCACTCACCTCTTCCTACAGATTAAATTCATTGTATTTAGCCTTGTAATTTAAACAAATGAGTAAATATAACATAACTATATAACAGGTATAGACAACATGTGTTTGAAAGAACAGTTTATAACAAACAAAAAAAAATCCCACCTGTTGTTGCAATTCTTCTTCCTTTCTCCTGAGCCAACTTACGAATCTGTTTTTTCAGTTCAATTCTTTCTTCTTCTAGTCTTTCAATCTGTGCATTTATTGTTCACAGATCAGTATTTCATTTTGTTCAACCACATTTTTATTACGTAACTCTTACACAAAAATAAGATTTATCACTTGCCTCTTGCAAAAGAATGTGGTTTTCAGCTCTATATTGCTGCTGCTTCAGTGCTTTGCTGTTTCTGAATTCACTTAAATCAATCATTGTCTTTGGCTCAAGACCTAAAACATAGTAAACACTATATAATTATCCATTATGCAGGAACACTATGTGAGCAATCATTAGAATGCATTTAATTTAAAAAAGAACATAACTAGTCAAACAGATTTTTTTTTTTAAAAAGGAGATAGTTGAATATATGCACTTTAATAGGTGTCCATATTTTATGCTACATACAACAGCACCAAGCAAAAGTATAATTTTACTTCACACAAACCCCAAAATGCAATAAAATGCCACCTAAAATTAACTATATTTATGTTTAAATTAAAATTAACATTTATGTTTAGATTCTTCTGTGTAAAAATAAGCCTGTCCAAAGTCTTCTCTGTTTTTCAGTCCAGCACTAGAACTTCAGTTTCCAGTTACTGTATTATGAAATTAATTAAGCAGTTTACAGTCAAATAGGAATCAAAGCCAAGAAAAGACTACAAAACCTATTATCCCATTTCCTTCAGTCAAAGCAACCTGTAAGCCATGTACATTCATGCAGTTTGTCCTAACTTGATACTTGCAAATATTACCAGAATATACAAAATTATTTCCAAGCAGTTACTTGGTGTAGTAACACTCCATGATACAATATTATTTTAATTCTTACACAACAAATAATTGAAAACAAAATGGATATAGCATACCTAAGCGCTCTCTGAGTTCTTCATTTTCATCAAGAAAATCATTTATTTTAAGTTCAAGTTTATTGCCTTCCTTAATTAATGTTTCGATCTCATGATCTCTTATTCTGATTTGCTTTTTTAAATCATTTATTTCAGCAACAGCCTCTTCCAAACCATATATTCCCTGAAACCAAATAGAAAGTAAAATAACCAACAGCAGATGTAAGAAAAATAAATTATGAATATGGTTTTCATCACTACACAGATAAGTTTTTCAATCTGTATAACTCTTCTGCACTACACTTAATGAAAAAGGTTACTGAATAAAAAGCAGATCTACAAATCTGTCTTTTACAAATTTAATCTTTTAACTATAGAGGAGCCTCTGCATATTTCAAAACTGAGTCCTCTTCCTACATGATTCTTTGAAGAATCTTATCTTGAGTGCTCAATTACTGTTCAGTGGACTTCAGAAGCCCATACTAATATGCTAAAACTGATGACTTGTACAAATTGTTAAATATGGCAAGCAGTCAGTGACTGCTATAGAATCATAGAATGTTTCTAGTTCCAACCCCCCTGCCATAGGCAGGGACACCTTACCCTAGACCATGTCACCCAAGGCTCTAGCCAGCCTGGCCTTGGAATGCTAAATGTTCTTATTAAAAAAAAAAACAACAACAAACCCCAGCATCAGAAGTCTTGAACTTAATTTCTAATTAGAACAGAGTCAATAAAAAAATGGAAGGACAAAACGACCTCCTAAAAATATGATGTAATACCCTGTCCAGTCTGACACACTGCTTACCAGTTCATAGTCTCTCATTCGTTTCAGAGTTTCAACAAGTTCTTTGTCCTTTTCTCTAACATCTGCTTCTGCTAATTCTGCTGCTTTCTCAGCCTCCTTAGTTCTCTCCTCTAGCATTTTCAGCTTTTCTTGCATTTCCCCAATGCGTTTCTGCTGAGCAAGAGATGAGTGCCCTGTAAAGAAAAATCTTGATTTGTTTACAACTAGGAATTCTTGCTATCAGGAATCAAGCAAGAAAGAAACACTTTGGATGATGTTACAAAGAAGATCTTACTTTTGCTGCTCTTTTAAATTAAGTAATTGCAAAAGACTACACTAGTGCTTTTTCTCCCAATTGTTCATTCAAACAATGAGAAATGCACATCATTTTTTTTATATATAGTATAAATATATTATATTAAAAATGCATTATCTATTTTGAATTGCATGCTACTGCTCACTTGGAATTCTTCATAGAGCTGAGATCTTGTATGTTATGCTCTAACCTTTACAGACCAGGTATAGTTAACTACACACTGCATTGCCATAAACCCCACTGAATTACTGTGAATGAATTTAAACTCTTTATGAATGTTTAATAAATGATAATGAACAACAAAAAAAACTAATATTACTCATATACTGCAAATATTTTTTTGGTATTTTTAGTGAATAAAGAATGTACAGTAAAATTCGTGGTTTCTTAGCACCCTTCCATAGACATTAAAATAAAGTGGTTGCTACCTTTATCTTTTTGGAGATCATTTCTTAATTCCTCAATTAGCAGTGTATTTTGTTCCATTTCTTTGGTATACTGTTCAACTTGCTCAGTAAGCAATAGTATCTGCACATCCCTCTCTTGCACACCCTACACACACAAGAAAGAAACTCCATTAAGAATTCTCTACTGACAGGCAAGCTACCTATCTAGAACACCACACAATAAAAATTAAAAGTAGCTAAGACAAAACAATTTATAGAACACCAAATATACTGTACTTACAACAGAGAGTTCAGATATTATCTAGAAGTTGGGTATATAAAGGCAAAGCAGGAAAAATAAGAGTGAGTAAAAATAAAGCACTCACACACACAAAGCAATATTTCAGTACACCGATGTAACTGTTCTCTCAGAGTTAAACAAGGTAGGATGAAAAGTTTCAGATGATACATGTTTCTTACAGCTTCCTCATAAACAGTTGCCAGTGGGAACCAAGAGATACAAGTCAAGATTGGGAGGACGAACAATCCATCATACATGACACCTGTGTTGCAGACTGCTTTTCAGCAAGGCATCCAACTTTCAGAAAGTCATATCACACCGTATTTTGCATGCATATACATCCATAAGTACACACAGACTGTGAAAGTGCCTTCTATTTAAATATACTATTTCTGTGCTTATACATGAACTTTAGAAATACGGAGAGCTTCATGTTATTTTTTCTGTGATGAACAAAAGGAGGAAAAAGATACAAAAGATACTTGGAAAAAAGTTACAGAACGTAATTATAATGTAAAAATCTCAAGAGTTGCTGACGTTACTTTACACCAATATTATGAAAAAACAAAAGTGCAGGCTTTCTTAGAGGACAAATATAACCACAGTTCAAACCTAAAGGCAAAGAGCTTAGCAAAGTTGTAAGGAGCTAAATATAACCCTTTAGAATGTGAACATACATTGAAGCATAACAAGCTCGGGCCATTTTGAGTTAAAACACAGCACAGTAAATTGATTTGGCTTTAAAGCAACTGTTTTAAAAATACACTTATTTCCACAAAACTGTTCATAATGGCATGCTAATGATGGTCATCCAAAAAAGCAACCTCTAGAACCATCTAGTCACCTAAAGCCAGACTCTACAACTCTTAGCAAAGTTACTGTCAGCTGCCTTCCTCTTCTGAAGATGAAAAGGCTGATTTGCACCTAAGGTTTTGTTTTTGTTTTTTTTTTCTCCTGAGAAGCTCTCTGTTTCTAGTTTTGGAAGACTACATAAATTTATCTCACATCACTGCTCAGTCTACATGGGCCCAACATGAAATACAAATGTCAAATAACTCCTTGAAGAAAGGCACAAAATCATCCTGTATCATACAGTATGCTTTCCATGGTGCATGTTTCAATGTTATTAATGGGCTGCTTATTAATTTATTCTCTTCATGTTTGTGAAGAAAATGGGGAAATACAAAATCATAGAGCTATGTGAGAGATACTTGTCAGGGGCTGAAGAACACTTAATATTAAGGCATGAGGTGAAATAAAGAAACATAAAATTAAACACTAGTAAGAGTCTTCCTTGACTCACAAATTTAGAAGACAGAAACTCAGCTATAATTTAAAAACATTAAACTATGGATGCTTAGAAGTTAAAACAATCACTCTAATAATGCAAAAGACAAATATGAAACTAGCAGAACAACCAACCACCAAGAACTCAGTTCATACATACAGCAAGAGAAGTTTCCTTTGCCCCTGTCTATTAAGCTATTTTTGCAGTGGAATGACTTGACCTGTCTCGTAATACTCAAACTTAAGCAATACATATTCTGGTATTTGCAAACTATGAAAGACTATTATTATTTGGTCACTAGCATATTTAGTGAGTGATGATTTCTCAATCAGACTGTACCTGTTGAAGGGCCATTATACTGTTTCTGTCTACATCAAGTTGGGCCATTTTCAATTTCTCTTTCAACTTAAATAACATTTGCTGATACTCTAGGAGTTCATCATCTTTTGAAGCTAAGATATTCTGAAAAGAAGATTAAAATACCATCAGAACACTTGAAATAATCCATAAAACTAATAAAAATTATTAGGTAACTATTAAAAAGTACCTTCCATTCTTCAACTTTTGCATTTACAGCTGCCATAAGTGGATAGTCTTCTTCATTCTTTGCTTTCAGCTGGTCTGAAAGCTCCTGAACCTAGAAATGCCATTTGTATTGATATCATATCACAAAAATGTTTTGCTTAATATGTACGTATAAACACATTATATCAAGTGCATACAATTTAACACATTAGCATTACAGCAGCAAGGGAAGATCATGACTCTCAAGAACACAAGCAAGACTAACATTTTGTACAAAATATCTGAAGGCAGTTTTTAAAATTTGCACCAAATTTAAAGATCATATTACTTTTAGAGAGTGTTATTTCGGAAGAGTGTATATTTCTAACTGAATATGTTGAACATTTTTTTATTTTAAATTAAAATATGAGTGAAGCTCTTACTTGAAATTTGTACTGTTCTTTCTCTTTTCTTAAATGATCCATAACAGTATCAGATTGTTGCACAATTAGTTTCATTTTGTTATATTCATCAGTCATCTTTTCCATTTCTTGTACTGATTCCTCAAGATTCTTCCTCATTTCTTGGTTTTGAATGTCTAACTTCTCATTAGCTTCAGTCAAATTCTGCAAAATTAAAGAAAAAGCTGCTTTTAAATAGTGCACATCTAAAGATCTAAATAAGTACTCATTGACTAATAAGCACTAAGCTACCTTAAATGTTAAGACTTGAAAGTCTTACAAGAAATTAGCACAAAAGAGAGTATTTTTCACCTCTAGATTATCAACTGCAACAAATCCTAGCAGCAAACAAAAGACACATCTCCCATTTCCAGTGACTTAATTACCTCTGCCAGATTCACCAGTGCTAGGCATAAGCATCACAGAACCCAACTACGTTATGAATTCCCTTACTCCACATGAGTTGGACATAGCTTTGTGAAAAACACTATTGTCAGTAACAGTCTAATAAGTACTCAATAGCATGCATAGATTTTACCTGAATTTCATCCAAATACTGGACAAGCTCAAAGTTCTTTTTGGACAACTGTGATCTGTAATCAGAATCCTCTCCTCTTCGTAATAGAATTGCTTCTTTCTGAGAATCTATTTGCCTCTGATACTCAACTATATCCTGACACAGCTCTTCATTCTGCACAGAAAACAACCCAAACTTAAATCTATTTTGAAGAGTTAAAGACAAAGACATTGCTTTTCTAGCAAGCTAACACAAAGACCTAAGACAGTCAAACGCCATTCCAATTCCTACAGTCTGCTTTTAAGAAACTTAGAAGCCTCACCTTTTTCTGTAAGCGTTTTTTCTTCAGATTAAAAAGGAGAGAACAAGACCAAGAAAACAAAGCATGAAAAACATTAGAAATTATCTTTTGGAGGGCTAAATAAGAATCAAGGTTGAGATAAAATAAAAGAGAGATTTCTCTATACCTGTGTATGCATATACAAACATATACACACATATGCAAGAGGGCATTTTGATGAACAATTCTCAAAGGTTTCCCCATGGACCTTAATTTAACTTTTGCTGTTTTATTCTCTCAAAGGCCAAGATTACAGGTATTAAATGCTCTAAAACATGTATTTTTTTTTCTAAAAATGGCTACAAAAAAGTAGTTTTAAGAGAATTACCAAGAAAATCTAGGAATAAAGAATGTTAACTCTATCTTTGCATTTATTGTTGTATTAACTTCTGACTTTTTATAATTTTATGTTAACCAGATAATCTTAGCAAAAGCAACAAGCATAAACCAAATCTAGTCTAATATCCACAAAATCTATTTGTCAACAGTACTTAAGAATAACACTAAAAATTCAAAACACAAAATCCAGACAAAATTAATGCACATTAGGACTATGTAAATACAAGTGGTGACACCTCCTGACCTCAATTAACTATGTTTCACTGCAGCAGATGTATAACATATTTACTAAATGCGACTAAAATTCTGTATTCTCTTTGTACTGGTAGCCACAAAAACGTTCTAAAACAGAATTAAACATTATGTCATGCTAAAGACCATAAATACAGAAAGATAATGATTTATTTATAAAGAATGTTAAAAATACAGTAATTCAGCAATAATTCTTTACTAACCTCTCTCCTTAATTTGATGTTTTCTTTTTCAGCATCTTCATTTTGAAGAGCAAGCTAGAATGAAGACAGAAAACCTTTATATGTATCAATAAAAGAACAAACTATAAAAACAAAGAACTCCAGAAGCAAACCAGAAAACATATGCAGAGCAGTCCAGTTTCACAAATGGGTCTGTTTTGTTTTTTTTTTTAATTTCAGAGGCTATTTTCAGAACACTGACTTTTCAAAAGATGTTCCTGAACAGCTTTTAGAGGTGTAAAGCTGGATTCCTTCTTACCTGTTCATTCACTTTCTTCTCTTTTTCCAGGTCTTTTTCTATATCTATTAACTGTCTCTCTTTTTGTTCTAATTGTTTTTCCAGTTGGCAGATCTCATCACGCAAAAAACGAGTATCACGACCACCAGCAGATTTTTGTGCCATCTTAAAAGCATTAAAATAACATTCTAAGTACAGTACAGTTTTTCAAAACAGAAAGAACTAAAAAAAACCACAGCAGATGCTAAGATTAATGTCCTTAATGTTCAGGAAAAGCAACAGGAAGGACTCACTAACTTCTTTCAATAATACTCAGAAATTTCTGAAAATAAACAGGATTTATTAAAGTATAAAATCTTATTGTACATACAGCACTTTGCAAACCTGAGGCTAGACAGCATTTGTAAGCCAACAAAAAGCATTAGTTAAAATGTATTTAAATTAGTAAAATGTATTTTTTTAAATAAATTTAAAAATTTATTTAAATTTCTTTAAAATGTAGTAAATTAGTTAAAATTCTACATCTCTTTACTAGATTAAAACAGAGGTCTAAAAAAAAAAAAAAACCAAAACCAAACTCATTTAGAAAAACCACTGAACAGTAATCTATAAAACAGGAAAATTTGAAAACATACCTGTAATTCATTTTGAAGTTTCATCACCTTTGTTTTAAGTTGATTTTCTGTTAAAACGGAACAGATATAGTGAAATACCTAACAAAGTAAAAAGTACCCAAACCAACAATGCTTAACCTCAGTCTTTAAATATGGCTCCACTCAAACAACTGACTTTAGAGCAGTTGGTATTTTGCTGTTTCCTAAATTTAAAAAAAAGCAAGCAACCAACCAAAGCACAAACAAAACCAACCCACACTAAAAAATTCATTAATTAATTTAACAAATCATTTAGGGATAGCTTATAAAGGCTTGCTTACCACATTTGGCTTGCTCTTCCCCAGCTTTTTCAACTTCTTCTAGTGCCAGCTCTACCTCTTGAGTTTTCATCTGGTAAAAAATTACAGTAAACAAAGAAGAAATACTTACTACTTATGTAATTTAAAAGATTTTTTCTTAGATCTCATGTTTGAAACAATGAAAACATTTACAAAAGAATTATCAATTTTCTCTCGTTAAACAAATGGAACCACTCCCATTTTTGCCCATACTGACAATTAAGACGTTCACTGCTGAAATATCTTTATTAGTAATTTATTCTAATGGGCTATGTAACCATTCAAAAGCATACTGCTGAGAATCAAAAACAATAAAATAGCCTCTCTAAAACCAACGTGCTGCCATTATTTTCTGCTGTCAGTATATTCATAAGTAATTACAAGAAAGTATGATAGATTTAGACAATCAGTTTTAGGATGAAGGTGTTTTCTTCACTCATGGTGACATTTCCCTTTACTCTAAAACATCAACCTATCACAGAAACTTCTATTAAACTTAAAATCATTACCAATAACTTAGAACATCTAACAAATTTTTAGCTACTTGCTTGTGTTTTCTATTTATAGAACAAAGTTTCCTTAACTATATGTTAGTCCTACTCACTTTACTTCCCACTGCTAAATGCTGTAATCCCAATGGCTACAAGCAAATACTGTGGTGCAAGCACACGTTTAGCATATAAACAATCTTAGGAGTAACCTAAGATCATTGTTCAATGCAGGGAGGGGGAAAAAAAAGTAATGAAGATTTCATTTAAAAAAATAACAAAACCAAACAATGCCTCTGCAGAATTGTAGAAAGTAAGAATTAACACAAACCTTCAATAATGACTGAGTAATTTTAAAAAGGTGTATCAGTTTTCCCAGGGTTTCAGTTTTTAGATCTTTCTCATCAACCTAAGCAAAGAGACAACTGTTTTTATACAATGAAATATCAATGAAAACCACAAAATAAATCATTTATGCATGTTAAAGACCAGAGACAGTATAGGTAAGAATGTATAACAAACCCTCTATGTTCTGTTTTTCCCTTGAGTACCTTTAACACAGTCTCCAGCAATCTGTCTGCTAGTTCCTCTTGACGAGGCAGAGCATCTGGATCCACTTTCATAAGCTTCTTCCAATCTAAAATCTGTGCCATATTGAATTTATAATTTTTTCCTGGAACAAAAATTAAAATAAAAATTATCAGACATTGTTATGTCAAATGGCCACTGAAGCACACAAGATGACTATAAAAACTGTACTGATTTTGTAACATTTATTAACATTGTGTGCACATTTTGGTCTACTGCAAACGAAGGTGACTATAGTAAAACCATTTTTCTTTAAGTTAAAAATTACATCACACATACTCAATGAATTTGTGACACTAACAGTGAAGAACAGGACACACGCAAAACCTCTATTTTAACTTTAATATTCTTCTTTTCCTCCCCACCTTTCAATGTGGTATTTTTAACAAACACAACTGGATACCTATTTGAACCAGCCCTTGTAGGATAAACATCTCCTTACAGTCACAAAAACATTATTTCTGATATTTGAACAGAACCAACACCTGCTTTAGACCAGTACTATGAGCATCCATTTCCAGATACCAATTCATAAGACATTAAACTCTTGATTAGAATGTTTGAGTTGATAAAGAACAGTAAACAACCTGGAAACTGACAAAAATCTGACCAGGAAGTAGTGCAAAGTTTTGTTCTACTGCTTACCTACCAGCTGCTGTGGGACACGGTGACTTCTTATATATCTGAAAGTCAGTGCAGTTTCTGAAAAAGGCAGAAGGGATTGGAAGCCTTGGATTATTTTATCCTCTGGAGCTGTCTCTAGCCTTTAGTATCAATATTTCAAAAATTATAATCTGCCAAGTTTAAACAAGAACATTTTTAAGGTACTTATTGCCTTAAATTATGAATATAGCATAAATGATTAAGAAAATTAAGAAATAAACCTAACTAGACTATTAAATTAATTATTAGCAACAAGCTCTAATAACTCTAACAATGATTTATGCTGTGCATGATACTGAGATCTTTTCCATCAAAACCAGCATAATCACATGGGAGATATCCTCTGCAGTATCTCCCGTATTAGTTTCACAGAATCAGAGAATGATTTTCCCTGAGCCTTAACATGGTTTCCAGGAAGATCTGCTCCATGATCACCAAAGTGAAACTGACCAGTCTGCTGTTCCCCGAGTCTTCCTTTTTTTCCCCTGCTTTAAAAATGCAGGTTCTGTTTCCTCTTTCCCAGTCAGTGGGAACTTCACCAGATTGCCATGACTTCTCAAATGTGACCAATAATGGCTTGGCAACTACATCAGCCAGCTTCTTCAGGACCTGTGGATGCATCCCATCGGTTCCCATGCACTTGTGCACCTTCAGGTTCCTTATAGTTTCAAACCTGATCTTCTCCTACAGCAGGTAAACTTACCCGGACTAACCCATCTTAAGCTACTTCTGATTTTCAAATTACATCACCGAGACTAGCTCTCGTCTACTAGCTCTACAGAGCACTAGATCTTAACTACAAAACCCCAACCAAAATGGAATCTCCTGCTAGCTTCCTATTATTCTTCCAATTTGTATATAGAATGATACAATGACAGCCTGCAATCCCTCCTGGATGCTACTGAGGGACAATTTTGTCTCCGTCTCATCCGACTCTGACGAATTATCAAATTGCCTTATTTTACGCAACGGGGCATTTTCGAAACATCCATCAGCCTAGAGCAGACCCGTACAGCGGCCTATAACCTTTTCCAGGCACCGCACTGCGACGGTGCCCGCACCCGGTCGCTCCTGCCGGGGACCAGCAGCCTCGGCCCGGGCGCTGGCGTGGATGCCCGCGGCGCTCCCGAGGGATCGCAGGGGTTCCTGCCTCCTTCCTCAGAGCACCGCCCGCCCCTTGACCTCACCGTTCCCCGAGGACGGTAGTGGCGGCGGAGGCTGCTGCTAGGCGACGCCATCAAGCTCTCCCGCCGGCTCCACTCCCCGGATAGCTGTAAGCGCAGAGAGGCAGCCAACGATGCCGCGGCACAAGGGCAAGCCGGGCACTCCGAGCTCCGAGGAGCTGCACAGCCACGCAGGAGGCAACCAGGAGAGGCAGGGGGTAACCGTCTCACTGGGGGGAACAGCACTGTGGCGACAACCCCGCGCCGCGGGCGGTGCGCTGCAGGTCCCAGCGTGTAGCTGCTCCGGAACTATAACTCCCACCGTGCCTCGGAAATACCATCCCGGAACTGGATCTGTTAGTTTCCCTTGCTGGTCGCGGGGGTGGCAGCTGTGCGCATGTGCAGTGCCTAGAGACTGGCGGCGGTGTACGCTGTGGGCGGTGGCGGCGGCGGCGGAAGTGGAGGAGTTGCTGCTTCTGTGGCCACAGGTAGGGCGAGTAGCGGCGGACTCTGCTTTCGTAAACGGGACTTGGGGTGCGGGAGGCCTGGGTCCCGTGTAGCTGCCGCCCGCGGTGGCGGATGGTCGTCTTTGGGTCTCTCTCCCTTGGCTGTGCTTTCCGGGCCTCATCCGTGAGCCTCCGCTCCGGGCTGCGGTGTCGCCTTGGTCCCTGGCCGCGCTTCCACGTCGCTTGAAAGGACCATGGGCTCGCGCCCCGGCTTGTCCTGTCCCTTCCCTTCCGCAGGCTTTCGGCAGTGGCCGCTTGCCCGTTGCCCTCCACCCCCAGCCGTCCTTAGGTTTCCTTCTCGACACCGCTGCGGGCGGCGGCATGCTCTTGTGCAGCACGGCAGGCTGACTGGAGGGCTGAAACACTGCGCCGGTATGCGTGTGCTATATATGTGTGTCGGTATGTAATAGTCGGGGGCAAAATATAGCTTGCAGAGCGGTACAGGAAAGATCACATCTATAAACTAACGGAATCCTTTAGTGCAAATGGCCAACGAGGACGTCTGAGTACTGATAGTGGTCTGGTGGCCCCAAAAGTTTGAGATCCTGTGTTAGCTAAATGGCCGTGAACGCATCTTTTCAAATAAAAAAGGAAGACCAGTAGCCATTTGCGACGTGTATATATCTGCATTCATTCAACAGCTGTAGAGAACTGAAGAGAATTTGTTTTAAAATTTCTTAAGGGAAAAAGGAAGGTGATTATAGTGTCATCTTTAGACTTTTGTCTTTTTCTGGATTGTTTATTGTCTACTTTTTCTTTGCTGTCTCTTGATTAGTGTTGATATTTAATGAAGGCTGACAAGATGCAAGCTGCTTGGCACTCTTTATAGTTATGCAGCTTGTTCCAGTCATGTGGAAAGGGACAACGCAAGCGAAATGATCTTTTTTGTCATTAAACACTTGTATCAAATCATCATAATGAATATTCATTTTAGCCAAAAATGAAGCCAGAGAGTAGCAAGTAGGCAAGACAGATGAGGACATTAGCACAGCCTCAGAAGCTAAACTAAAATGCCATTTTTAAGTGACTATACTACGGGCTTTGGTAACCCATTGTATATATCTTTGCTGATATTCATCAGTTCATCTTAAATGAACTTGGTGCTCACCTGTTTAAAACTGGAAATAAATCTAGGAGTAGTTTTGTCAGTTCTTTCCTTCCTTCCACCTTTGAAAATTTGTCAGTTTTCTGTGTGAACTGTAAATATGTTTTAAGCAGTCCAGGACCTTCAGTGGCTATGAGAGTACATTTCTCCAGAGTAAATGAGATGTACAACTCTTTTGGAAGCTTATTTGTATATATCTGTGTCTTCACTGCCTTTGGAGCTTCAAACAGGAGAATGGAAAGCCCACATTTTATGATTAGGTATGTGCATAAAATGCTCATTAGCTTGTTTTCAAAGCTTTTCAAGAAACTGCCTGATTTGTATGCAAATTGCCTGTTTTGTTATTTCCAGCAGCCTAATTAATATGACACAAAATTAAGTTCCTTGAGATTTGCGTAATAATTATGTTGCATATTGCACAGGCTAAAGCACTGATTATCAAAGTGACTCTGTGGAGTTACAGACTGTTGCCTCGCTCATGCTTCCCATAGTCTACAGACTGTTCCTTCTCTGATGCATGGTCATCTCCAGAGAATAATTGCAGTTTGATTACAGTTGAAAATGCTAACATCTTGATATGACTGAAAAGTGACAGGTGTATTTTTAATATCTATGAATATTTAATAAAGTGTGAATGAAAATAGCCTTTGCATATGAGATCAAAAACTTTAAATTGTAGTAACTAATGTTCTGTTATGGGCAGTGAATAAAGTGAATTTAAAAACGTTTCTGACAGCTTGAACTGACTTTCAAAATATTGACTGTATCGAAAGCTGCAATATGTCAATTATGGTGGGTATTTTCAGGAGTAGTAAGAGCTTTCATACAAATCTGAAACAAGTTGAAACTTTCCAATTCTGACATCCATTTGAGATTAAGTTTAATGATCATGTTTGTTCTTGCCAGTTTCTGTGGAAATCCTGTGGAAATCCTTAGGTGATCTGTGCAAGCTTTTTCCCCAACAGATTTGCCACAGTTCCCAAATTCTCTAATACTTCCGCTACCTGTGTCCTGTTCTCTAAAGAAGAAAAAACTGACTCATAAAACATATTTTTCTTTTTTGAAGTAGGATTGATTGGAACAGAAGTTGTTAGTAATGAACTTCTGGGTTTAAAAATGCCATTACCCAGTAGAAGATTCAGATGTGTGTTTAAATTTCTAAAGTTAGGGAGTAAGTTGTGTCTAATCAACACAAATATATTTGCTCTTGCAAGGGTCTGTTGTTGGTAGAAGGTGACAGCACATTTATTAGATAATAGCTAATTATGGAGTTGAGTCTTTAGGGATTGCAGCTGTATTCCTCCCTAAGTACATCCTAAGTTTTACTAAATTCGTATGATCAGAAAATGGCTCTCACACTCCCAAATCTCCCAATTGAGGATACTCTTAGAACATCATTGTGCATTTTTTGTTCATGTTGCATTTTTTTTTTTGTGCAGACTACTGTATTTTGCAATATATGGTATTAAACTGTGATTGTAGAGAAATATTTTGTTTGTCTATTTTCCTAAAAACAATTTTTCGTTATGTAGTACTCGTCTGGATGAACTGGTAAAGGGTTCTCCATAGCTGGAGGAGAATACATGCCTTACAAGCCAAACCTGTTTGAGAGCTCTGGTTCTTGTCTGTCCTTTCTGTTCAATGTCTCTGTACACGCATGGGAGCCCTACAGTGCAAAATGCAGATTTCTGTGCCAGACAGCTTGGGAAAATCAGACTAACAATCAGGTGTTTTGCACAGAAAAACAACTGTTTTCCACAGTTGGCTGTCATGATCATGCAGTTTCTGTCTCACAGGGTTTATGTTGCTGTTTATTGTTTTCAGACATATTTTTCATGGCATGGTCAGATACTGTTGTAAATTAAAACATCCAACAGAAATCTTGGTAATAAAGTATGTATCTCTCCTGATTTCAGCCAGTCAAATGGGGCTCTGTGGCTGTTCCATAGACCACAGACTGGCAGTCATACAGCCTGTTAAGGTATCTGATGGGCAATCTGTGAAAGTAGCAGGTAGGCATGATGAAAAAAAATAATGTGAGGGACAGTCAATCTGTTTACATGTGTTGGAGCAGTCAGTGATGTGGCTTCCCATCACAGCAAGGCTGTGTTAACAGGTTGTTAGGCAGCATTTTAAGCATTTTACTGGTATTCATCAAAACACCTATCACTGGGAGCAGTGAAGTACTGGCACTTGCAAGACCATACTTGGGTTGATAGCAGATTTCAGCGTGTCTGTTGGGCAAGAAGGGGAATATATCCACTCACTCAAGTAGCCCAGTCATAGCCAAGGCTTCAGCAGCCTCTTGCACATGTTTGATTGATGAGGTTCTCAGTGTTGCATAATCCTCATATGGCCTCTTTCTTTCCAGTATCAAACTGATAACAGGTTATCTGGTGTGAATAGTGTTGGCTGCCAAATAGCAATTGCTGTTCTCCACTGAGATTAATGGCAGACATAAAACATTTTGCCTAGTTTACTAAGTACAGATGAGCTTTTATAAGCCTCCCTCTGTTTTAGTCTTGCATTCTCCAGGCATTGATGATCACTCCAGGTTTGAAACTTTGAGTTTGGTGGTGGACCGAGCTGTAGTAGAAGATAGGAAGTAGTAGTTCTGATGGTGAGCCTTCCCCAAAATCTGCCTTGTTATGCTTAATGTAAAGGACAGTAAAAGCATCTTTTCCATATTTATGCTTTAATTCAGCAAGAGCATTAAACTACCCTGTAATCAGACGAGGTGGAAAAAGTGACTTCCCTAATTTTTTGTATCTTTACAGTATATTTCAGGAAAATAAGACCTTAGACTACCAGATTGCAAGTCAGAAGTAGTATCTCTGCTATGGTTTTGTGTGATCTACAGATTGTACATGGCCTTGCATTTCCTGTTTTTCTCTTTGCACTTATCCTGGAAACAGATTGCTGGAAAATGGGGGCTCTTCCAGATCTCCATTTTGCCCATCTGTTACCAAGACTTCCTAGTGCTTTTGCACACAATAAAAATTTGAGGGATATACTGTGATGCTTTTGAGATTACCAAGCGTGGCACGGTTCAAGCAGTGTGTTGTGTGGCTTGCTGCCAAAGCCAGAACAATGAGTTTTGTTGTGTATGTTCCTCAAACTTACTAAGCTGTTCAGTATTGTTTTGAGTGTCTGTGGCTTGGATACTTGTCTTGAAAGACCAAATTATAGCCATGTATTTGCAGTCATATCTATGATTGAAATGCACATGGAAAGGAGAAGGTAAGTTGCAGATTAAAAAAATGTGGTGTTAAAGGTGACTTTCTTCTGGAGTTCTCAAACAGGTTTCTCTGGTGGTGGGCTAGCCACTTAATCCTGACTTTTGATATAGCTTAAAATACTAATTTCTTTCTGTCTAAGAGTTCCCTTTCATTCAAATATAAACCATATATTCCCTACAGGTGACATGTAGGGAAATGCAACTCTGTTAAGGAAAAGCTTAGTCAATAGTGGTATAAAAAGAGTTGTGGGTGGGAGAAGTTCTAGAAATTCAGAACAAAAAGGGCTCATGAAAAGCATCAGAATTGCTTAGGGTTAAGGGATAATTAAGGCAGCTGTCTTGACATACATTCTGTTTGGGGAAAAGAGAA